AATATGAAGGAAATGTATTGGAAATATATTGATGTTCTCCTTTCCAGACTATCGCAGTCAGATAAAACCATTAGTAATCACGAAAGACAGAGATTTCCACTCTAAGAAAGAGAAAAGTCCCTACTTTTTGGTTACCTTTTTGTCACATGAAGAGATAGCCCTAAGGGTGACAGTTTTGGAGGTGTAAGTGACACGGGTCCATACATGGATTGGCATTCACATTACTTTATACCAAAATAACTGTCATAATTTGGTATCAGAGTGCTGGGGTTCGAGGACCACGTCAGGCTCCTGATGTCAACAGCCTGCTCATGCAGATGACAGCAGACAGCGGCACGGGTCCAAGCTACTGAGGTCCTGCCACCCTCACCAGGGACCTGGAGCTGAGCCGCCAGCTTCTAGTGATGACTGGCATTTGCAGAGTCAATCAGTGGATGTGCTTGCTCTCTCAAGTAAGTAAAACACTTAAAAAAAAGATTTTATTTATTTTTATTGGAAAGTCGGATATACAAAGAGGAGAGACAGAACTACTTTTTAAAAAATCAACTGTATCATTGGATATTAAGATGGATAAAAATAAGAATTTAAATGCCAAGTTTTACCACTTAAAATTCAAAAGCCAAAGCAAAAACAAAATTAGAAAGTCCTAACACAATACAGTAAGTTTAATTAAAAACAGGTGTGGAAAGGTTTTCCAACACCTACCAGCGTACACTAGAGCTCGACCCTGGCACAGGAAGGGCCAATGAAAGGCAATTATCTAACCAAAAGACATCCAAAAAAGAACATTTTTTAATATGACTTCAATCTCATCTTGCAATCAGCTGGGGCATGCATCTACAAAGCTGAGTGTTTAGTGTTTGTGTAATCTTGGTGTTTGCAGGATGTGCAGGAAGTCACATGAACTGATGTGATATCAAAGTTCCAAGAAATGAGGAACATCTATTTCCACCCTGGGGCCTTTCCAAGGCACCTGCAGACACCAAGCACCAGAAGGTTCCATGAGCCCGCAAGACGATGGCAGATGAGAGTACAGACCACGAAGAGACCCAAACTGCGAACAAGCCTAATGTGTCATCAGTCGGGACAGTGACACGGGAATGTTAAGGCAGGACCTAGACACAAGGTGAGGCAGGAGGCAGTAGAGCACGACACCCATGTCCAGCCTCCGTGCTTGACTTGGAACTGCCCTTACGCCACTGCTCCCACAGCTGGCAGACTGCATGAGACCTTAGTTTTATAAGTATTGGGTGGGCCTTGTTATCACCTGTTTTTATATCCACAACACTACAATTCCAAATACAGGCAAACAGCTTAAAAATGAACAGCATCATCACAAAAACTCAGCCATTCCTCTTTGTGTTATTAATATTTTGAATAAGATTTTATCTGTTGGAAAGGCAGAGGTAAAGAGAAACAGAGAAGGACAAAGAGAAAGATTTGACAAACTGGTTGTAGTAGCCACAGCTGGGTCAGACCAAAGCCAGGAGCCTGAACCTGCACCCAGGTCTTCCACGCGGGTGGTGCTCTGGCAGCCTTCCCAAGCATATTAGCAAGAATCTGGACCACAAACAGAGCGGCAGGCGGTCAGGTGATGCTACTTTCTGCCCTGGGCATCTCACCCACCCGAGGACTGTGGGAACCTGGGGAAGAGAGGGAAACACCTGGGCCTGGGCTGCCCTCCTGACCTCCTCACTCTGTATTTCTCCATCTCCAGTTCCGGGCAGTGCAGTTTGCCCAGCAAAGGGACTTAGCTTAGCTATCGTCCTGGAGACGCAATGGCGGTTCCAGGGTTGACCAGCTGCCCCCTCCCCAGACTGACGTCTTAGTCTTTTCTTTCTGGTCTCAGAGGGGAACTCATATTTGGTGTGGAAAACCATCCCAACTGCCCTTTTGTTTTTTCCTTCTGAGTTAGAGGAAGGGAGGAGGAAGGTTGGAAGGACTGTCACTTCCTTGGGCTACTTTTCCTCCCCCAACTCAAACTGCTCCTGATAGCTGGGCTCATTTCTGTCTCCTTCCCCCTAGATCCCAGGCCCTGGGGAAAAGGAAGGACATGCATGTTTGGAAACTGGTATTACTGGATCTAATGGTTTTAACTTCCTGGGCCACCAGCATCCCTCCTCTCCCCAAGGAGAAGCAGAGGGTACTGGGGTGAGCCGGCCTGCTCTAAAGCCACAGTGCCCCTGGACGGGTCAGGCCACCATGACATCACAGGGAAGGAGAGCAGTTTTTTTCTAGTTTTTAATTGGGGCGTGGGGTGGGGAGGGAGGTTTTCTCTAAACTATCATATTCTGCTGGGAATGGGGAGTCCCATCCTTTTAATCAAGGTGACTGTGATTTTGACTAATAAAAAGGACTTCATAATTTTTTTTTAAAAAGGAGGATATTCTTTCACCTGCTGCAGTACAAATGAACCTTGAAGATACTAGACAATATGCACTGAGACCTAAAAGGATAAATACTGCATGACCCCACTGATTTGAGTGAGACACTGAGGAGAGTCCAACTGATAAAGACAGAAGGCAGGACAGAGGCTGCCAGGGGCCGGACCCAAGGGAAAGCAGACATGGGACAGAGGCTGCCAGGGGCCGGACCGAAGGGAAAGCAGACATGGGACAGAGGCTGCCAAGGGCCGGACCAAAGGGAAAGCAGACATGGGACAGAGGCTGCCAGGGGCCGGACCGAAGGGAAAGCAAGACGTGGGACAGAGGCTGCCAGGGGCCGGACCGAAGGGAAAGCAGACATGGGACAGAGGCTGCCAGGGGCCGGACCCAAGGGAAAGCAGACATGGGACAGAGGCTGCCAAGGGCCGGACCAAAGGGAAAGCAGACATGGGACAGAGGCTGCCAGGGGCCGGACCCAAGGGAAAGCAGACATGGGTGGATCAGTGTATCATTCAATTTGGGGAGAGGAAAGCATTTTGGAAGCAGAGGGTAGAGACTGCTGCGCAACAACTTGAAAGTGCCGAATGCTATTCAATTGGATCCTCACATATTAATATGATAAATTTGATGCTATCTGCATTTGACCAGTTCCTAAAAACATGAAAAATAGCATGAAATCCTAATCATGGCATGAGGAAGAAATGAAGCCTCAATCCTACAGTAAAAAGAGATGCAGCTGGGCGGGGGAGGGGTGGAGACGGAAAGGGGGACATACAGCTCTCCTAGCCTTCCAAAATATTCAGCTTCTAAAACTATCCTAACTCACTACTATCCTTTAAGCGATGAAATGAGAATCAAAATAGTGTTATAGGATTTTACGTAGCGACTCTTCCCAGCACGTTCCCATCAATGTAAAAGGGAACACTTAACACTCAATCCTGCATACACTTGATTTCCAAATAAATGTCTGCTGCCCCAAAATAAGTGGACACCATTTAGCAACATTTGTCCAACACAACGCTCAGAAACTTGACGCAGAATATTAAGCATGAACTCAAGTCCCTTGTAGGAATATTTGAAACAGAAAAATAAATGAAGTAACAAAATGGAAGCAGATCATAGCACTTTTTTTTAATGCAAAGGGAAAAGATGGCAACTTTGTCTATGATTAAATTTAATGCCAGGGACTCAAACATCACACTAACTAGGAAATCAGCATTTTGTGTCTAAAAACACTCAACTTTAATATGGTCGCCTAAAGTATCACTCAGAAATCTTTTCGGTGAAAAGCTGGAAAGTTCTGACAATACAAAAATATAAATCACTGACACGGGAAGTGTTAACAGGCAAACACGCTGAGAATCTCTCCCCAATGCCGACCCCAATGCGAAAGCCCTTACAAATCTGTACTGAAACGACAAAGCTCCACAGAGAAGGGACAAATTCTAGAAAGTGTCCCCACTCAAAGTTCCTTCATGCCGTTTTTTCCCCCGGAGCCCTGCTTGGCACAGAGAGGTTTCTGAGAAACAATCATTCTCTCAATTATCACACAAACCTGTGACCAGCTTCCCAGAGGGAAGTCAAAATCAAGCTCAAGTGCCTTTAATTTAGAGCATAATCTAAAAGCCTATCACATACATAAGTAATTTGCAACATAATTTAAAAATGGGCAAAAGATCTGAATGCACAAAGATAGGAAAAAAGGGAAATGGGCAACTGAACAGCTATTCCCCCTTAGCTATCAGGACAGCGCAATCAGACCACAAATTAGGATGACTAGAACCAGGAAGAAAAGCGTGGACAAGCCGTGCAGCAATCAGACACAATGAGCTGGCCCTGGGACGGTAGCTTAATGAGACAGCTCTGAGCGGAAAAAAAGTGCAGCAGTTCTTGAAAATATCAGTTATACCACACAACCCAGCCACTCCATTCCTGGGCATGTCACAACCAAGAACAACGAAAACAGGTGCACATCCAACATTCCAATAACAATGTTCATCGCATCATTATCTGTAGCATCAAAAGGGGCCAGCAAGGCAAACGACCACCAGCTGACCAACGGAGAACTAGCAGCAGAGCCATACAAAGAAACACTATGCAACAATAAAAAGTTGTATTGTACTTGCAACGGCATGTCTGAACGTGAACACCAAGTGATGGAAATCGAAATGGGTCGCATATCGTGTGATCCCGTTTACATGAGTTGTGCAGAACAGGCAAAGTCGGTGCACAGCACCTACTGGGGCTCTGGGCTGGAGGGCGCGCGCGCACACACACACACACACACACCCCAACTGACACACTTAGTCACACACACACACACACACACACACCAACTGACACACTTAGTCCCGCATCATGCCCTCAGATCCAAGTCTGCACCAGCTCCTACTCCTCCAGGGTGACAGCAACAAAAACAGAATACGGTGCCTGGATCCAGAAACTTCTTCCTACCACAACTTGGACAGGGCACTCCTCAGGGGGCCGTGGGTTAGGGACCACCACCACCACCACCAAAAAGTGCCCGGCTCCCTCTGGAGAGGACCCTCCCAGCTCTTCACAACGTGTCGTGCAAGAAAAGCTACCCCCAAAGTGCAGGGCTAGACCACGACTGACCACGCAGCCTCGCTGCCTGAGCGCGGGAGGACGCGGCGGAGGACACACGCCCCGCGCGTCTCCTCGCAGCCACCGGGCCCACCGCGTGTGCGGGCAGCGACGGAGAGCCGCAGTCCCGGCGAGGGGGGACGCCAACCTGTCGGCGTGAGAGGCACAGCGCCGCGGGAAAACGTGACAAGCACGACCTTCCGGAAGTGGAGAACCGCCGAGCGCCCCGGCGAGCAGTCGAGACTTCCGGCTCCTCCTCCTGGCGGAGCTAGAGCGCCCGGACGCGGCGGCCTCGGCTCGCACGGGCGCGCAGGTGCAGTGGCGCTAAGGGGCCGCGTTCTGTGGGAGCAGGTGCGGCCTCTCAGATGCTCGGGCCGCCCCGGCGAGGAATTCGCCTCTTGAGTCCTCACTGATTTGACGTGTTATTTCTTTCCTTCCTTCTTCTTTTTTTTTTTTTTTTAATTCAGCCTACGACCCAGCCCTGGCCAAGAACGTTCCAGCTATAGGCTCTATGGCATCTGGCCACGATCTGAGCCTCACTCCTACAGAGAATTCCGTTAGCCAGGGTTGGACTGAGAAATGTGGCAACACTAAACTTTATTAACCAAATCTAATGCCTGCTGCGCACCGGGGACCCAGGGGATAAGGGAAAAACGGTAACAGGCTACACTCATAGTGCTTAGTAGTCAGATGGACAATAATAGTTTAGCCCCCAAATGAGCAGTTATGAGGGCATGTTCTTGCCGTCTAGGAAGGCAAGGCAGAGGGTGGAGAGAGGGGGTGACTATCACACGGTTTGTAAGGGGCACTACTGAGCGATGAAGGGATGACTGAGAGATGTGCCCAATCACAGCAGGACCCAATCCAGTCTACTGGCATTTCAGATGTGAAGTTATCAATTCTGACTGTTGTCTTTATGTATAAAAGTATTTTCTGAAGATTATTTATCTTGCATTCATCCTATGATCAGAAACTAAGTCCTAGTTTGTTTATAAAAAATGTCTTTTTAATCCTGGAAAAGATCTTTGTTATATTTTGCAAAATGCCATCTTTAATCTGAAGTCTTTACATGTTTGTTGCAAGAAACTGCATGGACATACTCTAATTTTGCTCTAAAGACTATATTCAAATATCTAATCATAAAAATAAGGGATATTTTACAAAATAAAAAATTATGTCATCAGAAAGAAATAAAATCTTAAGTTTGTATGAGGCTAGTAACAGAAGTACAACACACAAAATTACTTCCAGAATTTTTTGGAAAAGGGAAATAAAAGGTAAGCTTATTTTGGTGCAAGCTTATTTTGGAAAATATTTAGCCATCTCAGACTCAAAAACTGAAGTATCAGTACCCCCAGCTGAGACTAATCAAATTGAAAATTGAGCAGATCTGTAGTGATGGCTGGAGCTATCTGCAGCAAGAACTTAGCAAGCAGGTAGGACAGCCAGATCTGCTCCCATGAGCCCACTGTGGCCTGTAGAATCCTGTATCCAATGACCGTGGAACACACTGTCTTGTCAGATTTACAAAATGATGTTCACCAAAACAGGCCATGAAGCATGCCTGAATATCATCAGATTTTAAATATATTGAGTTGCTTAATAAAAGAACAATCAAATAAAGTAAAGATGCATGAAAGATGTTCTAAAGCATGCAGGTAGGATGCAGACAATGCAAAAGAGGAGTGTTTGCAACTGAGAAAATATACAAAACACCAAAGCAGCAGCAAGTTCCCAAAATTACTTAAATGAAACATGGCTAAGTAAGTATGTCCTCATTTTTGGAAAGCAGTTTTCTTCTGAAATAATTACACATTAAATAGATGCTTAAGAAAAATATATGAAGAGGTTACCCGGTGGTCTCAACCACCCATGAGTATTCTCATGGATAATAACATCAGTGCCAGGAGACTGGCACTGTACAATCCACGGGACCTCCTTAGATTTTACCAGCTCTGTGTGTGTGTGTTTATGTAATTTTTAAACTAGTGTAGCTTTGTGTACCCATCAACGCAGTTACAATATAGACCCTTTCCAGCACTATGATCTCTGGTACTATTTTTTCTTCACCAAAGTGAATACCCATCCTTCCTGCCCCTAGCCTACCCAGAAACTACTGCTTCATTGTGTGGCAACTAAGCTGTCTCTTTTAAAGCATAGCTTTGCTCAGAGCCTATACTACAGAAAAGCTAGTAGCAGCTTCACTTTGGACCATAAAAGCTTCTCACGAATCCTTTCAGATTCTTCAAGACACTCATGGTGATTAGAAACCTACAGTTTTTGGCTCTCCATTCTCCTGTCCTTTGTCAGCCTGTCTCTGGAAGATTGTTTTGGTCGAATATTTTATAAACATGATCATCAGTTATGAATGTAAGCATATGCATTTAAAATTTTTGCTTTAAAAAACTGTTGGCCTTTCTTTGAGGACAGTTGCCTTCACCTAAAACACAGGTACAGTTGCTCGTGCATGCTTTTGTCAAAACTTTGCAAGCATGCCCCCTTCTCTAAAGTTATTATCCCCTTCCTCCTTTCACTACTGCTTTTATCAATAAATGTGCTTTCAACCTTTTGATGAACGAACACTAAGTTCCAAGACACAAGGGAGTCTTTGTCTAGTGAGGAAAATATAACTTATACCAAGAGTTTAAATTCTAGCAGGGCACAACCGTGGAGCCTGCTTGTGGCAAATATCAGGCTAATTCTATACCAGCAGATAAGGAGCCAGTGTCACGTCACCCTGTGCCCCAGCACCACCCTATAATAGCAAGCTTGGGTACAATCAGGTCCCTGCCCTGACTCCCAGCAGGCATCTTCATGAACCTGGCACCACAGACAGCTTCTGTTCTATTTTGAATACTGCCCCTCTTCTACTGCAGAGTAGAATAAAATGTGGTAAAATAGCATGCCAGTGATTTCACGAAGTGTTGACAACTCCATGTTCATAAATAGTGTCTGTCTGGATAGGTGAGAGCATCCAGGGAAACTTGACAGATATATTAGTGCTTTCCAATCTTTTGATAAATAATCAGAGTAATAAATATAGTTTATCAAATGCTTACCATACCATACAGACTGTATCAAATGCCTCTTTATAAACATTTGCTGTGTATTCCTCTCAAACTGAAATATATCTTTATAGAGAGAACTATAGTCTCATCCTACAAACCAATTCCTATTGGTTATAACTGAGCCAGAAATGCAAGCCCATCTGTTGGTTTGTTACAGTGTTTGCTTTGATCCATGAGCAACTGGGTGCTATTGGCTGTTAAGAATTTTGGACCTCATGCCTACAAACAAAAAGCAGAGACTAGAATAACTGCATAATAATTTTAAAAGTCACATTAAAGCAGCATATCCGGGATTCCAATCCAAGACTGAGTAACTTTAAAGTTCAGGCTCTTATTCACTCTCCTAGCAACATTCCAAGCATGAAAAGGATGTTAAGGAAAGCATTCGTGTGGTTTTCCCTCCACATATTGTGCACAGATGTGACAATGTTGGTGTCAGCAGTGGTGACACTTGGCAGAGGGTCTTCTGATAGCCCTGGGGCCTAGGGAACCCCCAGATGACCACAAACACATCCAGAAGGACCACAAGGCCAATGGGAGAACACCAGGCAACACTGGAGTAGATATTCTGCAGTCTCCAAGTCCCAAAAAGGAGTCGGAGGACCAGAGCTGCTTAAGCTGTGTGAACTCTCCACTTTCATAACCAGAGTTTTCTTAGAGGACAAAACCCCACGTTAAAGAGAAACCACAGGCAGTAGAATCCTCACTGAGGCATCAGGAACAGAAAGGGCCAAGGAAGTAGGAGATGCAATCCTGCAGCAATGGGGAAGCACTTTGGGGAAGCTGAGGTCAGGAGACCTCTCCTCACCCGGCCTCATCCACGGGTGCAGGAACTCTCCCCAACTTCAAGGGGCCACGGAGACACACTGCTCAGCTGATTGTCACATGAAGTTACTAGGGGGGAAAAAAAGCCAAGGAGTAGAACAACATCACTAGACTTGAAGGCACACAGCAGAGACTGTCCCACACACAGAAGGAAGCAACTTTGGATTTGAAAATAAAACAAAAGCATGAAGTGTTAGTCAATACCTTCTTGCTGCATGTGCTTCCTTGGTTCCTGGTCCAGCCTGGCCCAGTGTCAGCTTTTGCAGACATCTGGGAAGTGAACCAACTGATGGAAGATTCACTAATATTCTCCCTCTCTTTCTCTCACCCTCCTTCCCTCCACCTCCCTCTCATTAGCCCTTTCTCTCTTTTTCTCTCCCCATTCCCCCTCCTTATTTTGCCTTTCAACTAAACAAATCTTTTTAGAAAACAACAGAAGAATTCATACACATTGTTGGGAGGGATATACATTAGCACAGTCTCTATGAAAACGGAAAACAGAATTGTCATACCACCCAGCAGTTCATGACCGGGTTTATAGCCAAAAGAAAGGAGATTACCTGTGAAAGAGACAACTTTCCTCGCATGGCTACTGCAGCATCATTCACAATGCCCGAGACGCAGAATCAACCTAGACGTCTACCGACATACAAAGCAAATGCGATGCGTGTATGTTACTGATACTACTTGGCCACACAGAAACAATAAAACTGACAACACGGTGAGACTAGAGGACATGATATTAAATGAAATAAGCTAGGCACATAAAGAGAAAATGGGTCCACTCCTATGCGGCAGCTTCAGAACCTGGTATTAGCCAAGCAGAGAACAGAAGAGTGGTTGCCAAAGGGTAGGATGGATGCAGTGCGGGAAGAAATATGGACGAACTGGCTGAAGGGTCCACAGATGCAGTTAGATAGGAGGATTACGTTCTAGTGTTCTGTGGCATAATGGAGTCACCACAATTCATAATAACTTATTGTACATTTCAAAATAGCCACAACACAGGATTTTGAATATTCCCAGCACATTAGAATGATAAATGATTGAGGTGGTGGCTATGCTAATTATTCTGAGTTTTACACTGTAGGCATGTGTTCAAATATACAATGTTCTCCACAAACATACATAAAATATCAATTAAAAATGTTTAAGAATGGGCCCAGCGGCATGGCTTAGTGGCTAAAGTCCTCACCTTGAATAAGCCAAGATCCCATATGGGTGTCAGTTCTAACCCTGGCAGCTCTACTTCCCATCCAGCTCCCTGTTTGTGGCCTGGGAAAGCAGTCGAGGACGGCCCAAAGCTTTGGGACCCTGCACCCATGTGGGAGACCTGGAAGAGGTTCCTGGTTCCCCACTTCGGATCAGTGCAGCCACCAGCTGTTGCACTCACTTGGGGAATGAATCATCGGACAGAAGATCTTTCTCTCTGTCTCCCCTCCTCTCTGTGTATCTGACTTTGTAATAAAAATAAATAAATCTTTTAAAAAAATGTTTAAGAAGAAAAATATAAAACTTTGTGCACTGAACTGATGTTAAAATTTATATCTAATTTAAAGCCTACCCCCTTCCCCAAACCATACCGCGACAATACATTAGTGGCTTTCTTACCCTGATAGTCTGTGTTTAGATGACCACTTAACCAAAGTGGAAAAATGCGGCACTACTTAAAAATAATACACACGTTTTAGCTTAAAACACATCAATTTGCATTTTTAAAAAATCTCTGTAGATTCAAAACATTCACAGGATTCTGCAACTGGTGGTCAGGGTTTGATAGCATCTTTCTCGTATGTGCCAAACCAAGTACCATCAACCACTTCTGTTGACTTTCTTATTTTAAAGTTTTTTCTCTCTCCTGCTTCCTTTCTTAGTGAGAAGTTCAAGATGCTGGACTTCCAGACTAACTGCAGTACAGGACTTTATGCTTTTTCTGTCTAACAATTTGCAGTTGCTCGTGCGCATCTAATCCAACAGCAGTTTTACACTTCTTATCAAGTCTTTCCAAAGCTGAACCGTGTTAGAGACAACTCCTAATGTTGTAGGAGACACGACAGAGGCAGCAGCCCTCAGATGTCCAAGTGGGCACTGGGAGGGGCACAGCTGGCTCTCCCAGTCACAGGCCTTCTGCCATCCTGGAAGTGATAACTGCTCAAGTCTTAGCAGGAGACTGAGGCTCCACCCACCAAGCACTGGCCTGGGGACAGAGCCTGGGCTGGGGTTGGGTTTCCCAGCCGCAAGACAAGATCTTCAATTTCTTCTTTGGTCCCTTTCCTGTTTTCCACGAAGCAAAAAACCCGTGTTGGAGCTTGTTCAGTTTGGCTGGTGCCGCTTACAGTCCCAGCCAAAGGTACGTGTTAGGAGGGAGGGTGGAGAAGAGGACTGCGATGCCCACAAGGCAAACAGTTAGGGGCCTGGCCGCTTCCACACGTGGGGCCCAGAGGCCGGGAGGGGGACCCTTCACCTGCTTTCTGTGCAGGGAGCAGGGTGGAGGCGGAGACCCTGCATCGGGTCTCCTGGTGCAGGCAGCCAATGGGAGCCGCGCGGGAGCCGGAGCTGCGCATCCGCTTCGGGGGCGGCGGTGGCGGTGGTTGCCCTGGCGCCTCCCGGGACCACGCGGTCGTGCGGGGCTGGAGCAGAGCTGAGCGCCCCGCACCAGGTAAGGCACGCGCGGGAGCACCGAGCTCGTAGCAGGGCTGCCCCAAACGCTCGGGCAGCAGCTTAGGAATCGCAGGCAGCGCCGGGTCCAGCGCTCGCCCACAGTGCCCGACACGCCTGCCTGCTTCCCTTGCCCCTACACGGGCCCCCCAGCGAGGGTGAACCAGTCTGCGGCTTCCGTGGGCTGACATCGCGGCGTGCTCTGCCGGGACGGGCTTTGATACATCAACAAGGCCAGATCGTTTTAACACCAAAAAGAAATCTATGTTTCATTTTGAAATGTGCCTGGGTGCCAGGAACGTGTCCCGTGCAGCCCTGGTGGAGGGCCGGGAGCTCGCCGGGCGACCAAGGTGTTCCCCGCATGGGCGCTGGGGAGCTCAGCTCCGTGTGCTCCAACCCTGTGTCTCTGCCCTTACCCCCTTCAAGGACATGCTTTCCTGTTTGGAAGCTGGACAAAACACGCGTTTCTCGGAATTTGTTGTCAAAGTCCCATGTGGCTAGTGTTGTGTAAAGTTTACTCAGAACATGAAGTGCTTAGAAAGGTGACTGACAAGGAGCTTACGTTTCTGCAACTTCAGGAATGACAGGCATCATTGTTATATTTATTTTTACACCTTTAATTTAATATTTTAACATTATATTTTAAATGTGTGACCGTGGACATGTTTGTTGTTTTAAAGAGACAGAGCAAGAGTGAGACAGAGAGATGAAACAGAAACTTCTCCCATCGCCAAAGCCAGGAGTGGCGGAATGGCTTCCACGTCTCCCACGTGGACCATCTGCTGCTGCTTTTCCCAGGGAGACAGAATGCAAATGGAACAGCCAGGACTCGAACCAGTGCCCCTATGGATGCTGACACCGCTGGTGGGACTTGAGGCTTAAACCGCTGTGCCCTAGTCCAGGCCCCAACCATGGACATGCTGATGAATCTCTTACAGCCTTAGTTTTCTCATCTGTAGAAGTAGGGATACTTGGTGGGGGCTCTGTGGCATAAGGGCTAGCACACTGCCTGGGTTGCCAACTCCTGCTTCTCTTATAGCAGCTGCTTCCTTGCTCTGTGTTGCACTTGGGATCCGGCTCTGCATTCCTGGCCTGGGAAAAGCAGCAGAAGATGGCCCAGCTGCTTGGAACCCTGCCAGCCGTGTGGGTGACTTGGAAGAAGCAAATAGTACTGTGCTGGGAGCTTTTACCGTAATTAACGTAATCTTCGTGGCATTGTTTCCAAGCTTTCGCTGCCATCCAGAGAGTCAGCAGCTGGAAGCTCTCTCTTTGTCTAAATATCTTTCAAATAAATAAAACTATTTAAAAAGAGCAGTAGGGATAATCATATTTACTTAGCAAATAAAAACTAAATGACTTAGTAAACATGGAGAGTTCACAACAGGGGTTTCAGAGTGGTAGGAGTTAGCTGTTGTTGTCATCTCCAAGGAAAGGAATACTATGCTGGGAACTTGTACCATAATTAATGTCACCTCCCCATGGCAGTGTTTCCAAGCAGTTTTTTAAAGTTACTGAAACAAAAGGTATTGATACATTGCTTGTTTTGTCCTGAAAGGTTGTATAGATAATATGTAGACCCTTTTTTTTTTTAATGGAATATGCTCCATGCACACACTCAGATAGCTGCCAGGTATAGTAAGGGATGCTGTGTACAAGAGCAAGGGGCCTGCAATTGTACCTGAACTCTTGAGGATAGCGGTCAATGTTCCCTTGGCATTTCACACATGTTTTCTGTTTTTGTTGTTGTTGTTCTATTTTGTAATTCTTTGTACTCTTCAGCCCATCCCACAGAAGTGAGTCACCAGTTCGAGGCACATTTTTTGGCTGTCATAAAGTTGCAGCAACATTGTGGGCTGGCAGGGAGCCACAGATGTGGGAGCTGTGGTGGCCTTTTGATTCTGGATTCTCTTTGGCATGTGCAGGATTCTGCTCAGACACATCAACAATAACAAGTCGGGCCCTTTGTTGTTGCATTGATATTGTACAAAATAGTTTAGAAATGAGCTGACACTGACTTAGCCATATAGGCTGGTGTTTAAAAAGAAAATGCACCTTGTTACTTTACCAGAGAAATGCCTTAAGGTCTCTTCAAATTAAGTTTGTTGGCTTTTTTTTTTTTTCTTTAACTCTAGAGTCAGAGAGCCATAGCAGCCTGTTACCTGCTGGGTCACTCCCCGAATGCTTGCCACGACCAGGGGCTGGTCTTGGGACTGAAGCTGGGAGTTGGGGACACAGTCCAGGTCTCCCACATGGGTGGCAAGGACACAGCCACCTGAGCTCTCTCACCTGCTATCTCCCAGGGTCCACCTCCAGCAGGAAATTGGAATTGGCAGTAGAGTCAGGTGTTGAGTGTGGGTCCCACCCATGTGGGACATGGGTGGCTAAACTGGTGTCTTCACTACTAGGCCAAATACTTGCTCTCAAATTCAGTTTTAATCAAATAACAATATAATGTGTGGAATCTTCCATAATGAACACGGCATAACCTGTCATTTATAAAAAGAAAAGTGGAAGTCCTGAAAGCTCGTTCCTTTGTGACAGGGAGCTGAGGCTCCGAGTTGGGAGCAAATGACCACACTCCCTGAATTGCTGACTCTGCCTTGTTCTCAGACACGAGGACTGAGCTGTTGGACACAGAGTAGTGCATACACAGCTCTCTCTTAAGTGCTGACACCCCAAACTATCTCACGAAGGAACCAAGTTAGTTGCAACAAAGCCATACAGAACAGTAACCAGGAAACAGGAATATCACCAGACGGGGGAACACAGCAAATGTAAGCGCAAGAAAGAAATCCAAGTGAAAGAAAATCTAAGTGTGCCGGCACATCCAACAGGATTTTCTGCCATTCTAAAGTGTTCTGTATTTAATTAATTTACAGTTAAATAATCACATGGCTATTTTCTGGGACTGTGCTGGTCCACAGTGTTTGTAGTTGAGTCTGGGTTTTGTCTCAGGAAGTTAAGCTCTGTCACACTGTTATTGTCATTGGAAAGTAAAGCATACTGAATGGCTTCATTCATTCTCACATCTCCCAGAATATTAATAGCCTTGGCAGAAGCAAGGTTTTTCCTGTCAATCAGCCATGGGTCCTGGAGTCCACTGTGCTTTTTTGATCAGAGCACATACAGGCTCAGACACCAAGACTCTTGAGCAGACCTTCTGCAGCAGAACTGAGAGGAGATGTCTTTGAATGGCTTTAAGCTGGTTATCTATGCAAAGTTTTTTGTTTCTTTTTTTAAAACTTTCAAGTGAAGGACCACAGCCTCTGGTATCACAGGTCATTGTGCAATAATTCAGTAATCAGCTCAAGATCTTTTTGTTTGTTTTTCCAAATTAATTGCTTTTCAAGTGGCTTCTCCTGGAAGAAAGCATTAATGAATGCTAATTTAATTCATGCTAATTAACTCATACTAATTTAATGTATACATTTGTTGTGGTTCCACTTCTATTTTATTTCAACTTGACAGAAGTGTTCTAAAAGTAATCTGGAGGTCTAGGCAAGTAAAAATAGATAAGAATACTGATGAACAATATTCTTTTACTATTCATGAGTGGAATTAAAATTGTAAGGAAAGCACAGTACAGTTGCAGGAGCCCTCCCTGGTCCAGATTCCAGCGCAGTGCATGTCATTGACTTGGCTCTGGCACTGAGGCCTTAGGTCAGTGTGCAGTATTTTGGTTTTCCTTTAGAGTTATTTACATGCATAAGAAAGCATCACACTTGTACTGCCTGCCCAAGACCTGCAGAAGAAAAGCCGCTCACGTTGTCACAGTCTGCCTTTTCCTTCTAGCACATTCCCTGTTCTGTGTCAGGAGACGTGATAGAATTCCACATGGCAGCAATAGAGACAGCACATGTGCTGACCACATTGGGTCACTAGACCCCCACTCTCAGAGCAGGAAGGATGGATGGGACGAGAACAGGGACGAGGGAGTGGGTTATTTCCAACACTAAGCTCAGAGGACAGCTTCAGATTGTTGGCTCCAGTCATCTTAGGGTTGCTAAGTGACCAGGGATTTTAAAATGAGAGTGATTATCTGCTATTATTCCTGGTTGTCTTTCCTATGCTTAACTAAAACAAGTAAGAGCCTGTGCATGGCTCATCCCAGGACAGATGCTGCCTCAGCCTTCCCTTCTTGGGGAGCAGTCCTTGGCACAGCCTTCTTGGAAGCCTATCACCCATCCTCTGTCTCCCCCCATGAGGACTTGGAAGGTCCGCTTTGCTCCCTCCCTACCACCTCTGAGGATTATCCACTTGCCCTGCACTTGCCCACCCAGTCCTTGTTAAAATCAAATGACTCTTCTAGAAGCTTGGAGAAATGAACAAAAAATGGTCATTGCCTCGACCCTTCTATTCTACTCATATTCCTAGGATTTCTACACATGTGGCTCTATTAGCTGCTGGATGCCTGACCCAAGTACAGAATCATAGCCTGCCTCTATGCCTAGCCTTTGGGTCAGAGCTTGGGGGTAAAGGCCTGAAATCTACCTTCTCAAGAAGCAGCCCCCGATGTAGGTTAAAGCTTGTTATCACTGTTATGCTGTACTGTCTCTTCTTTCCTTCCCTCTCCTGTTTCCCCCATCTCCTCATTCTGTAATTCTAAGTGTCCAGAGCCATGAAAGTGCCCTTATCTTAGAATCATTGCTGGGGGATGCCCCTGAGAAGTTGGCCACCCTGAGCTCCAGAGTAGAAACCAACACTCTGGGTCCCCTGACTGGAGGGCATGAGATGGCAAAGGCCTTTGTCAAAGATGGGACTGATGGGACAGGATGCAGTGAGGACGGAAGCGAGATTGAGTAGGGGGTGTTTGTATGGCCTTTCTGGCAGGTGTCACCAGGGTTCTGAGCTTCTGTTTTTGTCTTCACAGTCACTGAAGGAAGAGATAAAGATGGAGGCAGAGGTGAGTGTTTGCAAAGACCAATTTCGGGGATGCTATTCTTGCTGTGTGTCTCATTTCTCTTCTCTGAACAGAGCTTCCAGAAACATCAGCACCAATTTGAAAACACTTCCGCTCCAACTACCAGTGTGTGTATGTCTCTGGGTGATAGAGCGAGAGTAGGGCCCTTCTGAGTTGTTATCTGTGTCCAGCCTACTTCAGTTAGATTTGAGCCTTGCCACTGCAGCTAATCTGAGGGTGGGGAGGTTGCTGGAAGGGCATGCTTCAGTCTGTTTACCAGGACCTTTCTTTGCATTGTCTCTTTCTTGCTCTCACTTTCTAGTCTTTGATCCAAGGGGTGTCCCCTTTCTTCATCCATTGATTTTCTCTTCTTGATTTATCTATCTATCTACCCCTTCCTGCTTTCATAGTTTCCCAAGTCTAGCCTATCCCTTGATATTCATCTCTTCAACTGCTGTTGGGCTGAGGCCTGCGACTCTTTCTCCTTGTTCTGTGATTCCATTGCAACAAACCCAGAGGCTGTCCTCACAAGGTGATGGTGTTGGGTGTGTCTGAAGGCAGGTGTGTCAAAACTTTCCTCTGGGTCCCCAGCAGTGACAGCAAGTTCTTCTGTGTATCCCAAGACATTCCCACCTCCTTGCCCTAAACCAACAGATCCAGTCCTCATCTTTCTCCCTAGACTCTGTACTTCTCTCCTCTCCCTACTCATTCATAGCATCTGGACCACTCTCTGCTTCTTAGAGAAACATGACAATATTGTCATTGCTCTGAAGGCTACCCTTTCCATTTGTCTTTCATATCTCATCACAGTAGAAGGAATCTTCGTTAGTGGAAAGGGCCATGAATCCTTTCCCCCTGGAGTCTTGATGAAGGGCAGGCCTTAGGGTTGGCTGATTTAGTTATCTCAAGGACCTGAATCTTGTTATGAAGTGAGCTCAATCCAAGTGTTGAGTTGTACCCGGAACAATTCCTCCTATGACTATAGAATGTCGTCCAGCAGCAATAGGGCTGCACACTTTATCATTTCCTTTCTGTGAAAGAACGAAGTAGCTCTGTGTAGCTTGTTAGTATTAGTATTTATATATTTTTAACATTGAGAGAGAGAAATCTATCTGCTGGTTTGCTTCTCCAAATGCCTGCAATAGCCAGTGCTATGCCAGATTGAAGCATGAACCAGGAGTTCTGTCTGGGCCTCCTTTGTGAATAGCACTTTGACTCAAGCAATTTGGCCATTTTCTGCTGCTTTCCCAAACCATTAGGCTGGAACTTAATGAAGAGTGGAGCAACCAGGACTTGGAGTGCTCCATATATGGGAGACTGGGATCACAAGCCGAGACTTTACTTGCTCTACAGCACAATGCCAACCCCTCCTTCCCTTCCATGACCTATCCCGTGGTTGTTACTGCTGCACATCTGAAAAAGATTGCTATGGGATCTATACCTCCAGATTTGGTGGAAACCTTTTCCTGAAAGCGTTTGACACTACTGACCCTTGAACTATCCCTTTGATATCCCTAGCCCCTGCCTGTCCCTCTGGTCACCTATTCTCAGACTCTTCCTTAAGTCACTTCTTTAGAGTTTGTATTTCCTTGAGGGATATCTCACTCTATCCACTACATTGGGGTACTCACCTATGCCCATATATTAAAAGCAAAATATTTATTTATTTCAGAGACATAGAGACAGGCAGGGACAGAGAGTTCATACCTGCTGGCTCACTTCCTGAATGCCTACTGTGGCTGGGAGATGGTCGGCTTGAAACAAGGAGGCAGGAACTCAACCCAGATCTCTCACATGGGTGGCAGAAACCCAATTATGTGATCCATCACCTGCTGCTTTCCAGTGTCTATATTAGCAGGTAGCCTGAACAGAAGCTGGAGCCAGGACTGAGACCCAGACCTTCCATGTGGGATACAGGCATCTTATTTAGCTTCCTGCCTGCTCCCTTTTCGAAATTTACATATAAGGCAGCACCACATGCACCTGTTCATCAGGTCTTTCTCCTCAGTTCCAGACACACACACCTAGCATCCTGCTATGCATTTCATTTCTTTGTGCCACAGGCACCCCATACTCATCAAAATCAAGCTGGCCCTACTGCCATTCCTTAGGACCCCTCTAGAAGTGGCTGCACAGCTTCACAGCCCTTTAAGTCCTTTCCCAAAAGCCACTTAGCAAATGTTGTGGGTCCTGTTATTCCCTTGATTTTGTTTGTCAGCAAAGTTCACGTCAACTCACACTGTCCCACATTCAAGACTAAACTTGATGAGCAACATGGTAAGACAACTGCAGATGTAATACTTGTACCCGTGGAATTTACCAGTGAGTGAGACTCTAATAGTGTCCACTCCAATCTGTTGCTTAGCTTACTTTCTGACTGCTTGGCTCTCCTGTGCTCCACAGAGCCTCTGTTGAGTTGTTCTCTCCTTTTTGGGAGTAAGGAAGGAGACCTTAGACACAGAATGTAGCTCTCATCTCTGACTTTTGTCCTCATTGGTCTGTGCAAGGAGCCGCTCATGTTTATATGTTATATTCCTTGTTCCTCCTTTCTTATTCTCACCCTGCCAAGGATACTTTGTGTCTTTTTGAAGCTACATAGTTTTATACAAGTGCCTTTTGAATTGACACATAGGATGTATGTGTGTGTGTGTGTGTGTGTGTGTGTGTGTGTGTGTGCACAAATCTGTCAGATACGACACCTGCACAGACTTGTGTAGGTACCACTGCAGTCAGAATACAGAATCACACCAGAATCTTTCTCCTGGCACCTCTGCTGGTGACACCCTCTCCCCCTGTTCTCAACCCCTGACAACTGCTTTGTTGTCTACTTTTAATGTATGCGTTTATATTATGCTATAGCTTATGTCTTAGTCTCTTTCTTATTTTCACTCAGCACCAAGTTTTCAAGGCATGGATTCGGTTTGCTGTTCACTAATCCCAGAAAGCATACCCATTAAATCCTAACAAAGCCTACAAGCAGGATACTGTGATTACTCCTGTCTTGTAGGGGAGGGAAGTAAGTGTGAAACAGATGGTTCTGTGAAACACAGTAATGGGGTAGGGAGTGCACATCTAAGCCCTGCTGTTTCTGAATCCTTGACTGCCCTGTTTCTCATATATAGCCAGCCCATCATGTCCGACCAGTTTGTGTGCTGTTTGTGCTGAATGAAAAGTGTCCTCTGAGCTCCCATCAGGAAATGTGATGCTTCCTTCCTGTGAAATTCTGTCGCCTATGAAACTCCGTTGCTGTTGTCTCTTCTCCTGTTGATGTTTCTCCTCTGCTTTTGCTGGCCCGAAACCTCACAGATAGTTCGTCCTCACTAAATGTCAGTTGACAAAACGGCAGGAGGCTCCAGGGACTGTTGAGTAATCTTGAGGTGCAGCTGGAGTCTGGGACGGCTGTGAATGGGGAAGCAAGAAAATCAGAGGGCAGAATGACAAGAAGAAAATTTTCTGTGACTCAGAGGTGGCCGAAGGGGTGGATACAGAGGGTCTTCAGCTACAACTAGCACGTTGATCTCAGAGGATGTTTATGAAATGCAGGACTCGGGCCTGAGATTCCAAGCATTTCAAGCAGGGCACCTGATAGGATTTGTGGACCTACTGGCCTTTTCTCAGAACTCAGAGGGTAACAGGTCAAGTGGGATGGAAGGATGGATGGTTGGAGTTTAGCAAAGCATAAAGATCAAAGTCCGGGTGAGGCATCCAGATGGAACTGCGCAGTTTACGTTTCTTCTTGGGAGTTGAGCTTAGAGGAAAGGACCCATACCTCAAGATGTTGGAATGTGCTGGCCTAAAGGTGGCCATGGGGACTTTAACAGTGAGGGATGAGGGTTGAGACTGGGTTCCTGACACCCATGCAGGAGATAGGGTTTCTGGCTCCCAGCCTAACCCTGTTTATTTCAGGCACTTGGAGGATGAATACCTTAAGGTATTAAAAACAAGACTTGCAGTCCCAATGGGATGTCTTGGGTTAAATTCCATGCTATTTCTTGGGTAACATGGCCACTCTTTTCTATGCTCATGTCTGCCTTACAGAAGAAAAGCCTGGATTAGCATTTGCTCCAGGGTCTTCTATTGTGAAGTCAATCTGTTAGAGGCACCCCGGGGACACTGGAGTGGCTGAAGTAAGAATTATTCCTAGGGTCAGTTCCAGCCAGTTTGTGAGCCAAGGCCCACGTGTTTCACAGCAGTGAACAGGCACTCAAGCTCTGGAGGCCAAGCAGAGGCTGTAGATGCTTTCTGGACACATGGCTTCTGGACAAGCTTGCAGGGAGATGGCCCATGGGGGCTTCTGTGGCTCTGGTTTCCCAGTGTCTTCCAGGGTCATATCAGTCTCGAGTGTCCTGTCTGAAAATTCTTTCTACTTAGGATACAATCACACATTGTCTCAGTTGGTGGCTGAGTAGCTGACAGTGTCTTTACCATGTAGGTAGGCAGCATGTCTAGTTTTCTGTGTTGGCTACACAATGACAGAATTGCCTAACAAAGCATTTCTCAGAACATGTTCCCACTGCCAAATGACATGCATGACTGTGCATAGAATGGTTCTTGTTTTCTGCACTGGACCCTGACCGGTGTCTTGTGAGGTTTCTAGCAAATACAGAAGTCAGTTGTGCAACAACAATGAAGAGTTGAGCTGAGAGAAAATGAGAGTGCACTATTATAAGGGTCTTATATGTGAAATGGTATAATATTACCTTAGATTGTGATAAGTAAGTGTGTATAGTAAAAAGTCTCAAAATAGGTCCTAAAGGAGTTATAACAAACATCCAGCAAATGAAATAAAATCCTGAGAAATACTTCATTAACTCAAGAGTGCAGAAATGGAATAGGAAAGAACAGATTTGACAGATAGCAAGATTTGTATTAAAACAATCATAATGTAAATTATCTAAACCCTTCAAATAAAAAGATGCAAGTTGTTATGCTGAATAAAAGAGCAGGGCCTAACTATATGCTACTGACAAGAAACCTGCTTGAGATATAAAAGTATATCAATGTTAAAAGTGAAAAGGTGAGAAAAAATTATGCCAACACTGTTGGAAATGGATTGTTAATACCAGGTGAAATAAATTACAGGGAAAATAATATTATTGGGAATAGCAACCATCCTTTCCAAATGATAGACATCAAGTAATTATGAAGTTATAATCATCTTCACCAGTTACATGCCTAACAGTAGACTCAAAATCCAGTAAAAAAAAAAAAAAACTGATAGAGCTGAAGAAAGAAGTTTGCAAATCTATCGTCATGTTTAGAGATTTTGCCACCCGTCCATAATTTATAGAGCAAGAAGACAGAGATTCAGCAAGGATACAGAAGCCCTGAACAGTGCCGCCGACCAAGTGGACTTGTAGAACCCTCCTCCCAACAGCATCATGCCACTTCTTTTCCATGTGCCTGAAACACTTGCCAAACAGGTGGTGTTCTGGATCACAAAACATTTCTCAACACATTTAAAAGGATTCAAATCATCTAAAGAACGTTTGATGAACACCATGGAATTAAGTGAGAAATCAAGAATAGACATTTAGAAAATTGCCTAGGAAGAAATGCTGGGCCAACAGCAGAGCAGTGGGTTGCAGGGACAGGGGCAGAATCCACGGGTACCAGAGGTGGAGGAAGGGGTGGGCGGAGGGGACGTTTGTGTTTTTACACTCAGTGACATCAAGGCAAAACTGGATTTGAGGGATACATAGAGATCATGTTTAACAGTTTGGATTATACTGAGTCATTGCGTAACCTTAATAAGTTGACTTGATTTTTCACTGTCGTACAATTTGCATTCGGCCTATAGCAATGTGCTTATGTGATACGTAAGTGTCCCCGTGGCGTGGGGGTGAAGTTAGTTGGAACTCAGAAGGCTATAACGAGGACTTGGTTCATGTGAGTCCTGGTCTGTGTAGTGAGGGCAGATCTTGGTTTGCGTATTAGTCTCTACCAGCCAATGTCACACTAAGCAGTTAGGTCTGCTAGATGACATCCAGCTGTCTCATATTTGCCTGTCATCAGTCAAGGTACCTCTTTGGGCTGCATGTGACTTTGAGAAAAACTGCCTTCATCACTGGGGAGGTGGCGGGAGAGAGCCAAATGATGGGGGCTTGGAAGGTTCTCGTTGCACAGTCAGAGCTCCTGCAGGAGCATGCTGTGGGTGGAGCTGACTTGTCACTTCTGGAAGTGTCTTATCTCACCCATCCAATCTGTAACTTCCTGTGTGTCCTCAGTTGCTGCTGTCTCCTCCTGCCTTTCAGGATTCTAACTGCTCCTTGTTCTGCGCTCTCCGCTGGGTGCCTGGACTGTTTTTAAACCTCACCTTTGTCCGTTCTGTTTCAGCCTCAGAGGAAGTTTGGCGTGGTGGTGGTTGGTGTTGGCAGAGCGGGCTCTGTGCGGATACGGGACTTACTGAATCCAGACCTTTCTTCTGCCTGCCTGAACTTGATTGGCTTCGTGTCCAGGTGGCTTGACTCACTTTTTGCTTCGTAATTCATGGGAAACCCCAATGAGAGATGAGGCCACAGGATTAGGCCTAGCCAGAGAACTGGGTTTAGGGTCATTCCCACAGGATCTCAAGTTTGGACTGGCCTGGGAAATGACCACTGCTGGGTTTGCTGGGATAGGTGGTTGGGGGCAGCCTAGGCTAGGCTGGAAGGGTTGGTGACTGCCATGGGCCAGCTTTGTGGGTTGATGGGTTTAGCTGCCGACTGCAAAGTGCTGAGTAGTCCTGGCTGCTCAGCACACTCTGTGATAGTCAAAGTACTTGGGAGTTTCTGGTTCCTGCCTTTGGCTTGGCCCAGCCCTGGCTGTTGAGGCTTCTGGGGAGTGAACCAGCAGGCCATCCTATCCTGCTTTTCCATGGCACATAACCCGTATGGGATGTTGGGAGTTCGGAGGGTAGCTTAACCTACACAATGCAAGCTGGGTCCTATATACTCTCAGTGATGAAGTTTGCACTTGAGGCTAAGTCCCTTGACTGCTGCCCTGTGGCTCATTTTCTTACTTTATAATGGAAAATGCTGCGGAAGCAGGAGGGAAGACATTACTTTCATCATATCCAAAAGCTGCTCACTAGATGCCTGCCGGGAGGGTGGGGAGAAGGATCATTCTCATAATATCTGAGACAGCATCTGGTCCACCTTTGAGTTACATTTCTCTGTTGCTCTGAAACAGACGAGAGCTCGGGTGCATCAGCGGGGTCCCGCAGATTTCCTTGCAGGACGCTCTTTCCAGAGAGGATGTTGAAGTTGCCTTTATCTGCAGTGAAAGCTCCAGCCATGAGGACTACATCAGGTGGGTTCAGTGCCTTGCACGGTGAGGCAGGACTAGGAGATTGAGCACGCTGCAGTGCCTCTAAGGGTGTTCACGTCAGTGGGGGAATCCTGACTGTCCTGTGACCTCTAGAAGTGCAGAAATGTTTAAGAAAAATGGCCAGCAAAAGTAGTATTTTGTCCACTGTAGGTAAAATATTCAAAATGTTTTACTTCTTTGTGCAAGAAATCCCATTGAGATAGTTTTGAACAGTGCTTGCCTTTCTCTTCTGACTGTGCAGCTGAGGCCATGCAGTCAGATCCCTGGTGAGTTGGTACACCCTTGGGATCAGTGTCCAGCAGTTTGTATTTCTCACTTTCAGTGTCACGGAATATCTTCAGAGTTCCTTTACCGTGTAGTATGTTTGCCATGAGATAAGTGACTAGTGGTATAGCAAGGTCATCCAAGAGAAGGACTGACTTTGAAGCAGGAGGAATGAAATGCTACCCTCCCCACCTTGAAGGAAAAGGCTAGACCCCTTCAAGCATTTCGTGAGTCCAACCCTAGTTGCAGGAGCCCCAGGTGGGACCTGGAAGCTCATTGGGAGGTGCCAGCTACCCCATGAATCACAGCTCCACAGCTCAGCCACCACCATGTGGCTTTCCAGGGACAAGCTGCCCCCTGTGTCAGTCTCCATCTGCAGTGGATGAGAGCTCCTTTTTTCGGTCTTCTTAATATTCTGTGGCACCAGAGTGCATTTCTTCTACAAGGTGCCCATGCCACCATGCATGTGGATGCTTCAATGCTGGCATCTAGGGAATGCAGCCCAAAACTCCTGAGCTTGATGCTGCAAGGGCCTTCACACTCAGGCATCCAGCCTGGTTCCCTTTCACCATCTAACCCTATTCTCCTGGTGAACTTTGTGCATGGGCAAAGCTCCACAAAGGGCCCGGCAGCGTGACCTAGCTGCTTAAGTCCTCGCCTTGAACACGCCAGGATCCCACATGGGCACCGGTTCTAATCCTGGCAGCTCCACTTCCCATCCAGCTCCCTGCTTGTGTCCTGGGAAAGCAGTTGAGGACACCCCAAAGCCTTGGGACCCTGCACCCATGTGGGAGACCTAGAAGAAGTTCCTGGATCCTGGCTTCAGATCTGCATAGCACCAGCCATTGCACTCACTTGGGGAGTGACTCATAGGACAGAAGATCTTTCTCTCTGTCTCTTCTCCTCTCTGTATATCTGACTTTCCAATAAAAATAAGATAAATCTTTAAAAAAAATAAACTCATGTAGCAAAAAAGAGAAAGGATATACCAGAAACATAAAAACAAAAAATTAGAACTCAGCTTTAAAAAAAAAGCCCCACAAAATGTGCAAGTCCCCATATGTGTGACCCCATATGAACCACTCTTAGCACATGTCACCTGGAAAGCCACTACTCCTGCAGGATCCAGGTCAGGAGCCACGCAGGGCATCATTTCAATGGGATCCAGCAGAGCAAGGCAGCACAGGTTTTATCATCTTCCTAGTTGTCATATGGTGACAGGAAATTTACTTGCTAGTGTGTATATATTTATTTTCCAGAGTAACTGTTAAATAGTACTTCATTTAAAAAGAGAGAGAGAGATGTTCAAATTAATACCTAGGTAGAAAGTCATTCTGTCCCCAGACAGTAGGGGCTTATGTCCGTGATTGTGTTTGGTTTGGGGAGGTCCTGCGTATCCTCTGTTTGTACCTCCACCCATCCATGACAGATTTGCACAAGGGAACTGTTTGAGTGCATCTGTAATGGCCTGCCCTTTGCTGTGCTGAGCATCTCCGGGCTGTGTCTCTGAAGTGCTTTTCCCTGTTTTCATCTCTTTCCTGAAGGAAGTTCCTAAATGCTGGCAAGCATGTCCTTGTGGAATACCCCATGGCGCTGTCTCTGGCAGCCGCTCAGGAGCTGTGGGGGCTGGCTGAGCAGAAAGGTAACGTACGCCTGTGCAGACCCAGGCCTCTTCCTAGAGTTTCACGGTGGGCACACCTGGGGAGGTCTGGGGAGAGCAGAAGGGGGGATGGGAATTTCATCACTTTCAGCTGAGGCTTATGCATGTCTTTAATGAAAATCAGGAAGTAGTTCCCATTTGCACAATGCCATGCCTTTATTTTGATCTTATGTGTGTGGCCTTTATATTGCTGATGGAGAAATTAGGGGAACTGTCTTATATGCCTATTCTGTAACTTCCTATTGCTTGTCTAAAAGAACAATTATTTTTTTAAAGATATCGTGTACAGCAGGAACTTGGAAGCTCTGCTAAGCACCCATTAATTAAGCACTTACACTTAGTTCTAGAAGCCCTTGGCCATAGTTGTTAAGTCCATTTTCTGTTGTAACAACACTCCCAACACTGAGTAATTTAGAAGGAAGAGAAACTTACTTAGCTCACAGTTTTGCAATTTGGAAAGCCCAGAACAAGTGGCTAAATCTTTTGTTTTCTGGTGACAATCCTGTGCTACTCTGTGTGTGGTAGAACAGTAAAAGTGGACCTTTCTCAATAGCCTTATCTGTATACACACACATACATACATATATACACATACATACATACATACACACATATATATGTGACACATATATATATCATGTAATTGAAGGTTACTCTAGCATTTACCGTCAGTCAAGGAAATAATAATATTTTCAGCATGGCATCCCTAAATGTTGCGTTGTTTTGGATGGCAAAGTTACAGGTGATTTGAGAGCAAGGCCATCAAGAGGGCAGAACAAGCCTTCCCCGGACCGCCCTTCCTCGTAGGGATCCTGACTTGGTATGCAGTCCAGATCGCCCTTGTGAATACTCAGAAAGCACTTGGGAGCTTACAGCACCCCAGGAAGCCCGAAGCCAAGAAGAGGCGCATGGGTGTGGGTAGAAATACAAGGCTGTAGCAGTAAAGTCTGGTATAGCCCATTCCCCTGGCAAGCACAACGTAAAGTGACTGACAGAAAACTTTGGATTTTCAGCTTCTTCGTCAGGAGGAAAATGCAAAAGTGGAACACACATCTTGAATTCTCGGCTTTCAGGGATCTATCCGAAGGTCTGACCTGTTTGTCATGCAAGTTAGATTGCTGGAAGGAACTGGAGTCTACTTGGGTGCCAGAATGGGGGTGTCTGAAAACAGATGAGTACAGCATCACAAAGTGCAGTGTTGCTTAAGATCTGAGCAGGAGATACAGACTCTGAGTGTAGGAGCTAGAGCAAAAAGCTTTTGTAGCAGGAAATTATACTTGTAAGCTCAGACCAAACCTAGCTCTAGAAGAAGCTCGACAGGCACCCAAGTTTCTAATCATTCCGATTGGCAAGTGTGCAACATGCAAATCCAGGTCAAGACTGAAGAGAGAAGGCTGTTTTTTTCAGATATCCAGATCTCACAAAGGAGATTGCAAAGCATGCAGGAAAACAGCTGTAGACTCACTCTAGGTTATACAGCCCAACTGTACTCTGGCGATGATGACCCTCTTCTTAATTCTTGCTTTAATTATGGCAGGAAAAGTCTTGCATGAGGAGCATATTGAACTCCTGATGGAGGAATTTGCATTCCTGAAGAAAGAAGTGACGGGGAAAGACCTGCTGGAAGGCTCGCTTCTCTTCACAGGTCAGTCTTAGGCCAGATCACAGGTCCCGGGGGAGGTGAGAAGGCCAGATGGGTTCTTTCCTAGCCTGCTAGGATGTGAGCTTGCATTCATTTTGCCAATGAGTTTCTGACTCAGAGCCAGTTTATTTTTCCCATGCTTCTTTGAACTATAAAAATTGCCTTTTTTCTTTATTTCAGTGTTTTATCTATGTAGTGGGCCTTGGGTACAAAATGTGTGAGAAGTGTCAATCATACTCATGTTTTTGCCCCGACACTGTAGGCAGAATTTTCTGTCCGGAAGTGTTAACTAGCCAGAGATGATTTCTGCACATGTTCAATGTCTCTATGTCTGTGTCTGTGTATTTGCATGTGCTGAATATGTTAGGAGCCTGGGAACTGTTTTGTTATTCCCTTTGCTTGGATGGACTGTATTTACCTCTTGCTTGGCAAAACTGAATTCAACACAAAAGGAAAAAGACTTTGAATTTGGCCAGCTGAGTTTCCATCAGTGTCATTTACCATCTCGGACCTGCACCCCATAAGGGAAGGCCTCACTGCCCCAGTCATGGGCCTGTTGTTTTGTTCCTGCATCACCCCTAGTTCCTACTGGCGTCTAGCAGTGCTGCTTGCCCAGGACCCATGGCACCTGTCATTCCCCACAGCTGGCCCCTTGGAAGAAGAGCAGTTTGGCTTCCCCTCATTCAGTGGCATCTCTCGCCTCACCTGGCTGGTGTCCCTCTTTGGGGAGCTTTCCCTTGTGTCTGCTACTTTGGAAGAGCAGAAGGAAGACAAGTACATGAAGATGACTGTGCGCCTGGAGACCAAGAGTCAGCGGTAAGTGGCAAGAGACACATAGAAGTCTGTCCCATGTGCACTAGGAAGGTTCTGGTGGAGGGGTTAGACCCTTGCTGCCCACTCCACAGGAGCCATGTGCTTCTATAGACAAAGGTCCGGGATTCCAGTTACGTTGACTCACTTTATCTCAACAACTCTGTGAGATAAAGACAAGCATCAGCCCATTAGTTTAGGTTGATTTAACTGCTTGGAATACCTCAAATTTATTCGATCTGGTATCATTATAAAGCGGCGAATAAAACTCACTTTTGTCATCATCTTCCACAACACGGCAGGGCTGTGCTGTAAGCTTCTAAAACTAGACATTGGAACTAATTTTGGGGGGATGAAGTTAGACCAGTTTTTTGTTGGTAACAATAATTCATTCTTTTAAAAGATTTGAATCGTAAGCAGAAAGTTTTAGTTGATGGGTTGATTAGCTGATTTACCAGTCTAACAGCTGTGTCTAGGATTCTACGCTTGATCTGAACGTGTTTTATTTGAGGTGAGTATTAAGCTAACTTAAGTGAGTCATTTCATTGGCTTCAGCCCAGATATCTTGCTGACATACAGCTTTCCACAGCTGGTTGGTCCCTGCTTGGTTTGTGGGCTGCAGGGTGTAACTGCGTGGCAGGAAATGCCATATCCTCCTGGGAAGGTGGCTCTGGTATCTGGTGGCGCGGAGGACTCTCTCGGGTTTGTAGGCACTTTTTCCCAAAGCTTATCACAGCCCAGGTCTATTTCAGCGAAAAGTTTGTATATTTCTAGGACTTGTCATTACACCCATTGTCTTATGGCACATTGATTGTTATTCTGGTCGCTCAACAACCTAGTGAATTGGAGCAGAGCCACAGGGCTATGGATGTGGTGCACAACCTGTGGTCTTACAAGGAACCCAACCATATACGCATAGAGAAATACTAGAAATGACTGCATTAAACTAAAGATACTTTCATTTTAGTAGGAGAATTTATGGATTTTTTTCCATATAAGTCCTTAATTAAATGGTATGGAATTCTTAGGAACATTTTAAAGGGCAGAGTTGTTTTTAAAGATTTATTTTATTTGTATTGGAAAGTCAGATTACAGAGAGGAGGAGAAATAGAGAGGGAGATCTTCCATCTGAGGATTCACTCCCGAAGTGGCCGTATTGGCCGGAGCTGAGCAAAGCCAATCCAAAGCCAGGAGCCTGGACCCTCCTCCAGGTCTTCCACATGGGTGCAGGGTCCCAAGGTTTTAGACTATACTTGACTACTTTCCCAGACCACAAGCAGGGAGCTGGATGGGAGGTAGGGTTGCCGGGATTAGAACCTGTCACCCTTATAGGATCCTTGGGTATGCAAGATGAGAACTTTAGTCACTAGGCTATGGCGCTGGGCCCTAAAGGGCAGATTTTATATGTTTTTTTAATTTCCAGAATACTCAATGAAGCTATTTACTTTGTTTTAAAATCTATAGAAGAGGAGGTTTCTCTGTTTTCTATAAACATATAAGACAGCTCTTATATGCTACCAACACAGAAATTATTATCCCAGATAAAGGAGAGATTGTGGTGTCTATTTGAATTCTAGATTTTTGTGGTATTGACATGAGCCTAAAGGGAAAGTTAGGAATGGAAGTGTAAGTCCTTTGCTAACCAGGAGAGGGTATTTCCTGGCATGTGTTTAGGTTCATGTAGTTCTTTGAGAATGTAATGAGAAAACTCTAAGAATTCTTTCCATCATAACCTGTATGTTACATATAAACGACAGATTGCGTGGAGTCTCGCTCAGTGCTTGAATTGTGTGTTGTTCACATCTGGATCTCCTAGAGGAATCCCTAAGAGTCCAAGTAACATCTTCTGATTAACAGGCTAGTGTTTACACAAACTCACTGAGTGAAACCCCATGCTTGACAGCAAAGCTAAACAAAGGATTGGTTGGCAGTAACACTGGAAATCCCATTACCCCTGGCCTTTGTGAAGCTAGTGGAGATGAAGTTAACACCTCAACTACTGCACTGACCTACAGCTGGGAGAAGACCTGTGACCAGGTCAGATGCCTGCAAGCACCCATCCGTAGCCCTACGTAATCTCTCACACTGTGATGCTTCTAACTTTGCAGCCCGCTGTCCTGGATTGAAGAGAAAGGACCTGGTTTAAAACGAAACAGACATATAAGTTTCCACTTCAAATCGGGATCCCTGGAGAATGTGCCACATGTAGGAGTCAATAAGAACATTTTCCTGAACGATCAGAACATATTTGTCCAGAAACTCCTGGGCCAGATCTCTGAGATGGAACTGGCTGCTGAAAAGAAACGCATCCTACATTGCCTGGGACTGGCAGAAGAAATCCAGAAATCCTGCCGCCAGAGCAAGTGAGAGCTGGGAGCTACGCTACCAGGCCTCTCTGGAACCAGAACAGCACATGTGTCCCCAGGTGACCCTTATGTCTGTTCTGACAATTAAACACATTGGGTAAACTAGAGGAGTTTTTGGTTGTGAGCTGTGTTGGGAATAGTATTTGGGGTTGGGGTCATTCATCATGTGTCTGCTTTCGTTGACTTCTTCCCAGGAATGCTGTGCGATGGATGTTCCAAGCCCTGTTTGTATTAGTGTGCACCAAAATCTTGCCTGAAGTCATCCAGGTGGTGAAAAGCAGAAGTGGCTTTACACCCTGTACATGCTGCAAGCCACCACAGCACACTGGCCTGAAACCACTTCCTTGTTTGAAAGAATGTTATTTTTCCCAAAAATCTTTTCAATGGGTGACCAGAGAAGGCGCTAGAAATTGTAAAAATTAATAAAATGTAAGCTCTGTCCTTACTCTTAGTGTTTAAAGAGAACGAGGCATGTACATCAATCATTTAAGGTGGCAGATTCCCTATGACAGAGAGGTGCTGGTTGACTTGGAGAAGTGTCAAGGACAGGGACCAGCACTGGGAAGGGTCAGGGAGGAGGGCTGGCCCCAGCTGAAGATGCAGCCACAAGGAAGGGAGAATGTCTGAAAGAGGCTGTGCACCTGTCAAAGCTTTGTGCAGAGGCACAGGAAACCTGGGGAAAACAGACCCTTCCCCTTCCTGTCCTGATGCATGTGAACATGCTTTCCTAATAGTGCCCAGCTGTGTCCCATGGGGAGCTGCAGCCAGAGAAGAAAAGCCGGAGCCCAGGATCTCCCCAGCTTTCTTTGTGAAGAAGCCATTCTATGCATCACTCCAGAGGTTAATCAAGACTGACCCACATTCCACTCTCAGCCTGCCTGGCTGGTCTGTCTTGTCTGTGCTGCCATGGGCAGAGAGCAGCTCAGCAATGAAGTTATGGACCTCTAGACTTCAGGGAGAATGGATCCTTATTATCAGAAGGGGAAATGCTTTTTAGATTTTTAGAAGACTAAAATTGCCAGGTGAAGTGGGTTGCCTGGACTAGATCTCAGATAACCTCAACTTTGAGTCAGGAGGGTAGGAAGAAAGGTAAGGTCTAGGAATGAACTTTTGGAATCAAAGGACTTTACGGTTCAGCAGATGGACCTCACAGTGGCCTGGGGGAGTAGCAATGGCACCCAGAGGAGCAGCCTGCTGTGGACTGCATGGACACAGCATCCTGATCTGTAGCACATGCCTTCAGGGAAGAAGGTGGCAGAGGTATATCAGTACCTCAAGTAGAGACCTGTTGTGTCAGCTACTTTTGGGTGAATCTGGGTTAAAGATGGAACGGATTAAGCTGGGAGTGCATTAAGAGCAATTAACAAAACAGGTCTGGTAAGCAGGCAGGAGGGGGAATGGTCAGGTTGCCTGGTGAAGAACTAATCACAGAAGAAAGAAGAGCAGAAGGCTGGTAGAGGATGAAATCTGTATTTGCAAGGAAGAGGGTTCCCACTCACTGCTTCTCTACTCCAGGGGAGGGGCTGGGAAGGCTGCACTTGGCTCTAGGGGTCTTAGGCTAGTTAACTGAGCTGCATAGGAGCCAGCTCATTTCCCCATCATTTCCTGTCTGCAGACAGTGCTGTTACCACCTGGTCACTGAGTTCATCACATCAAAATATTGAAATCGCCTCTTAAACTAGTAACACCCATGCAGTTGGGAAGAATAGATCTTGTTTCTTTATATTTGTGCTTGAGAAGTAGAGACAGAAAAAAAAGAGAGAGAGAACTCTATTGATTGTGTAAATTCCTGCAATGACTCGGCCAGGCCAGGGCCAAAGCAGAAACTGGGAACTCAGCTCAGACCTCCCAGTGGATGGCAGGAACTCAACTACACTTGATCTTAGCCAAAAGGCTGAGAAGCGATAGGAACTCAACCACTTGCTTCCTCCAAGGGTGCATACCAGCTGGAAGTTGGATCAGAAGCAGAGAGGCTGGCCTTTGACCAGACACTCCAATATGGAACATGGAAAACCTAGGAGGCATCTCAACCCCTGCTATATCAAATACCTTCCCCAGAATGTACACATTGAACAACAGCATATCAGTATTAATAAGAACTGTGTTTGCACTGGTGTGTGCTGGGCAGTTGCTTGTCTTTGCTTCTGTATGAGCCCAGCAGTGTGGATTCTATGCAATTTCTTCAGCTGTAGTCAGCATAGCAGTGTCTAGCCAGTGCCACAGTTGTCTAGAATGCAGCTGTTAGTGGACTTAGTGGCATGATTTTGTAAAGTGCACATGGGCTTCCAAAAGTATGCACTCAGCCCCCAGAGTCGAGTGCCAATCACAGTTGGGTTTTTTTTTTTATGGCAGTAGCCACATTTCTGATGCTGTGGACAAAGAAGGGACATGTCAGGTCCCAGCAGGTGAGCATGGGTGATGTTGGGGCTTATAGCATCAATACTCATGGCCCTGGAACTATGGGATGTGGTTGAAACTTTTGCTGCATCCTGTAGGGTAGCTGGGCGAGGCTGGGGTGTATAGCACCAACAGCCACAGACCCAGTACTGGGGAATGTGAAGGTCCTTACCAAGGTTCCACAGGTGAATGCAGGCTATGCGGCAGATGGTGCACTGGTAGACACAGAGCTGGAGCAGTGGACTGCAGATCGCGCCTTCTCCAGGTTTCATGGGGTAAGTGCTGGTGTGGGAGCTGGACATATTAGCGATTATGTATTGAGGCTTTTGAGCTTTCCTGCCTGCCTTTCGCCAGTCATGTGGGCATCAACTACCTATTCCGAGTCAGAGAGTCTGGCTAGGAGGTGCCATGAGCTTTGCGCCTCTCTCTATGCTGGCTTTCCAAGTCTCCATGCTATCCAGGGCTCATGTCATTTTCACTTGTTATTTTTCAATTTTTATTTATGTGAAAGGTAGTGGAACCACAACAGATTCTGCCCATTCTCTCTCCAAATGTCCAGAACAGCTGAAACTGGGCCAGACAGAAGCTACAAGCTGGAAACTTGATCCAGGTTCTCTGCATGGGTAACCGGTGCCTGAGTCCTGAGCCATCATTTGCTGCCTCCCATGGTGGGCATTAGCACAAACGTGGGATTGGGGCAGAGCGTCTCCCCAAAACACAGTCCTCCCTTTGCTGTCCTGTCCTCTGTGCAAAGGTGAGACCTGGACACCTCTATTCAGCACTGTTGGATCCTCTTTCCAAAAATAATTTCTTTCATCTTCTAAAGCCTCACCTTTTGAGAAACAAACTTTCTGTCCTGTTTCTCAATGCTAACTGTGCTACCATATAGGTGCTGGTTCAAATCCCAGCTACTACACTTCTGATGCAGCTCGTTGCTGAAGGCCTGGGAAAGCAGAATGGTCCAAGTCCTTGGGCCCCTGCACCCATGTGGGAGACCTAGAAGAAGCTTCTAGCTCCTGGCTTCAGATCAATTCAGCTCTGGCTGTTGTGGCCATTTGGAGAGTGAACCAACAGATGGAAGCTCTCTTTGTTTATTCTTCTCTCTCTCTGTAGCCCTTTAAAGGTAAATGAATTCTTCATTTTTAAAAAGGAATCTGTCTTCTAATGTATTTGATACCTTTTAGTTGATGCCATTCTGATTGGTGTCTTCTCTGGAATGGGAAGACTGTACCACTGGGATTTTGTCCTTTTCAGTCATGTGGACTCCAACGTGATAACAGAGCCCAGCACCTAGTAGAAGCCTAATGAGCGTGTCCTTAATGAACAGCGCCTGGAGTGCAGTTTCCCATGGCGTCCTGACACCCACACCAACCTCAGGACCCACAACAGCCTTCATCAGTAAAGGAGCTGGGCTCATACGAAACACCAGCCCTGCACTCCCCCAAGAGGAAGTGCCACTTCTTCAGACCACTTCCCTGGCACAGAAGTACTGCTCTCCTCCTCAAACAGGCTCCAGAACCTACCCGCAAGCTGCCTGCTGTTGCATTTAGGATTCAGATTCTGTCCCACTTCCTGTTTCCTGGGGACCCAGGTTTCTTCTGTACTACAAGATACTCAGACTAATTCATAATTACCTAACCATGGGAAAGCTGCTTAATTTTGACAACTTAATGAGGAAGACTTAAGAAAAACTTGATTCATTTCTATTTATGCATAAAGTACTTAGCCTTAATGGTGCAATTAATTCCCACCAAATACGAAAAAAATCACCCTACAAAGCCATTCAAAAAGGATGTGTTTTAATAAAGAAAGCCAGCATCAGTGAGGTTTTCCTGAGCTTATCTTTTGCTGTACTAAACAGGTGCTGTCACATGTATGTCTTAAGTGGATATTAACACAATTTACTTTGTCATAAAAGCTATGCTTTCAACGTCTCTAAAAAAGCAGAAAATAAAAAAGCTCTTCTTAGAAAATGACACTTAGGACTTAATGGCATCAAAGTCACATTGACTGAAGAATGGAAATTACATCGTGTCTTAAAAGCCATATTAACATAGATCTGACTGCAAATGTCTAGTTCTTTCCAACACAATACATAGAAAATACAAGCCTGGCTTTCTCTTCTGGCCTATTAAAGAACACATAGGCAAAGACTGCTGAGTTATAAAATATCCTACTTGGAAGATTCCCCTAGGTGGTTCACAACCTCTTAGATTTAAAAGTGCTATATAAAAAAGACATACATCAGTTTCTGGAAAAGGTGATATTGGTCTGTAAGAGAAGCTTGCTTTGGCTTATTTTAACTTAATAGCATAAGAAAATTCCAGTCTAAAATGAATTGCAAACCAATACTAGACATTTTAAAAATAGCCATTTAGCTGAGGTCAATTATCTAAAGCTAAATAAACAAAAAGACCCTTCACCTCTCCCAGCTTGGGCAGAGCTGCCTCCTCAGGCTGGGTTTACCACCTGCTGGAGTCCCAGCCCAGAAACCAGCCTGTGAATGTGGGTGGCTCATAGCCCTGCTTCACGATGACGATGGGTGTCCTCTTATCTCTTCCAGAAGGGTCTGTCTCAAGGTACATTTTGGCTAGAAAGAGAAGCAAAGATATAGAATCAATTTGTTTGGGTTAAACTAAAATACAGAATTAAAATTATTCCATAAAATAAATTAAATTTTTATTATCTTTAAGTAGCCAAAAATTAACTGTGTGTCATTTATATCTCTTATCTGTTGGCAAAGCACCAAGAAAACTTCATTATTTCCTGAAAGAATTCCTAGTTTTATAGAACTAACTTTATGAAGTAATTATTGTTATACTTTTCAACAGAAACAGAAAATTATGACAACATTACACAAAAATGAGGCAAAAATATCTGTTATCAAATTTATGAAAGTTTTACTATTCTCATCTTAAAACAAGGTTTTAAGTGAACTGAAGTTTTTCCGAATAAATGGATAAAATAGTATTCTAAATTAGGTAAGCATTATGTTTCTGTCCACATTCTGAGGTTCTTCGTTTTTTTTTTAAACTATTATTCTTTAAAGTTCTGAGGATGGAAGCTAAGCTACTCCTCAGCTCTGGCATGGAACTCTGGGAGACATGCTGTAACGAGGCATTCAGGCGTTTAGTAACTGTTGTGCCGGGGCACAGCCGTCATTGTCAGTGGGATCTAGCTTACCAGACTTGAGAGATTCCGTTTTCTCCACTTCATTGGCATCTTTGCCGATCCAAATGAATATCTGAAAAATGAAACAACAGCAACACTGTACCTCTTGAGGAGTACTGACTCGGTGCTGGGCACTGGGTAAAGTACTTCACACTCCCAGCTTGTTCACTCTTCGCCACGACCCCAGAAGTCGGGGAGCTCTAGGGGGACCCAGAGAAGTCCGCTCACTTCTCCAGTGCTCACCTTCATCACAACACACCCAAATGGACACGCATGCTTCATTCATGTTGATTCTCATGTCTTAGTTGAGAAAGTCATCTTTCACAAAAACAACAGACTGGTGTTTTTCTGCATTTGCTCCCTGGGATGGGGAAGACCCATTTCCCAGATGGGGATCTAGGCTGGGGGAAGACCACACCCAGACACAGAGCTGGTCTGTAGGCAATCCAAGACTTTCACTTCCTCTTATGGCATTGTGCCCTGGGCACTTTGACAAAAGTGTTATAATGCTTAATATTTAAGTATTGAGCTTTGAAAATGTAGAACTAAAAAATGTAAAGCTGCACAGGCTGGGTAATTTCCACACTAAAAAATTCTCCTGAGTTGCCTTACATTTAAATCATTTGTTGGCAGAAAAAAAAATTGACCAATTAAGTTGAAACTGTATTCTAAATGATGATAAAACTGCTGGAACATGTGGGTGTAGGGCACATTACTTTAAGGTAAAAGCATGATTTTAAGACATGAAATGTAGCAAATACACAGAATCTGTCATCCCAGAAACAAGAGCTCATTACAAATAAGGATAAATACTTCTGAATAAGGAAATTTAATTCTCAAATGCACAGAAGGGTTTTACCTACATGAGGTTTAAAATTTCTTATCTGCAAATAAATGATCCATTCACCTGGGCAGAATGCAAGACTATTCCAGCATGGGTCACGGCGGATGAGGAAGCACAGGTGTGGCACAATGGGGTGGCTTAGCAACGAGAAACAGACCTCCAAGTTTTGGGCTCTGTGGATGACTCCAGGATTGGGCCCAATTCAGAGGAGCTTTTCATGTTTCTTTTTTTTTGTTAATTTAGTCACTTACAAACTTAAATATTCCCTTTTACTATTATTAGTTTATAAGGAGGTTTTACAAAGCTATCACATGTGACATATCAAATTGTCATTTTTTTCTAAAGTTGGGATACATGCAATAATGATCTCTTCTACCATGTAGATTCAAATCTGTGCTAGTTTCTTCCCCAGGTGGGGGTTTCCCCGTGACTTGCTGTCAAACCTCAGGAGGCATTCTGAGTTCTCTAGTAGTCCTCTAAGTATGGAGGTAGTAGATTACGTAGGCTGGATGACCCCATCAAGAGTGGGTGAATTTTATAAGAGGTTTTTTCCCTTAAAATTATAAAGGCAATGATAGTAACTGCGTGTCTATTTCCACATTAAAAACATTACATTGGTTTGTGCATCAGTTTTAGTTTTGCCCAAGCCACATTGTTTTATTCATGTAGCCCCAGTTCCTACCTGCTCCCAAGCATCAAGTAGCATGACATCATCTTCCGCTAAATCATTCTGGGTGAACTCTCCCGGAACCTCCTCAATCTGCAATACATGAAAAACTGCATACCAGACAGGAAAGCAGCGACTCTTGGAATACTACACACCTCTGCCTGTGTATTATTTTGGAACGCCATGAAAAAACTGGCCGTCATTTCCAGGTGCCTGCCCCGTGACACAGAGTATAGTCATCTTACCTGTACAGTAACTGGTTTGTCTCTAGCGTCTGGTCATGGCACGTGGGAAAACTCAAGCTCTTTCTAATCAGACGCTAAGGTAGAAGCCCACCTTGGGGCAGGCCACCTCTTAGGATTTCTGTATCTCAGATCAGAGGCCTTGGCTTGAGTCCTGCCTCTGCTTCCACTTCAGCTTCTTCTGGCTGTACGTGGGAGGCGGCAGGTGACAGTGCGTGGGGCCCTACCACCCGTGTGGGAGACGGACGGCCTTCTTGGCTCCTGGTTTGGCTTGGCTTACTCCAGCTGCTGTAGGCGTTTGCAGAGTGAACCAAGGAATGGAAGATTTTTCTCTCTCTTTCTTTCCCCTCTTCTCTCTACCCCTTTCCTCTCTCTTTCTGTCACTCTGACTTTCAGATCAACACATAGAAACTTCAAAAAGAAAACTACTAAAATAAAAATCTCATTTAAATGCCTTTGGGAGTGACATATACCGTCATTCTCATCATCATGTTTTGAGTTTGGGAGCTGCTTAGGTTTACACGAGTTGTCCCCACAGCGGGACCAGTGTCCTTAGAAGGACAAGGAGAGGGAACGGCAGTGTGGCTCAACTGGCTCATCTGCCGCCTCCAGGTGCCGACATCTCATATGTTTGCTGGTTGCAGTCCTAACTGCCTTGCTTCCCATCCAGCTCTCTGCTTATGGCCTGGAAAAGTAGCAGATGTCTCCAGTCCTCGAACCCCGTCACCTACATGGAAGATCTGGAGGAAGCTACAGGCGCTTGGCTTCACGTCAGCTCAGCTCTGGCCACTGGCCATTGAATCAGCAGATGAAACATACTTTTCTGTCTTTCCTTCTCTCTGTAAATCTGCCTAGAGTGCCCTCTCCTGGCCATGTAGGATACAAACTGAAAGCCAGAAGCAAGACCCCCCACAACAGATCTAAGGCGTTTGGTCTTGGACTTATCAGCTACTAGAACTGTGAGAAATATTTGTTGCTTAAACTACCACGTCTGTGCTATTTTTGTCACAGCAGCCTGAGCTAAGACACTGATACAGATGAGTTTAATTTTAGTTTAAATTGCCTGGTATCAAAGCCTAAATGTCTGTAAAATGTTACTGTTGATTGCATTTGTAGGTACATACATAATCCTCTGTGATGTTTCCCATTGACTATACTATCCCCATAACATCTTTTTATTCAACCAACAAGGTAAATGTTTTTGTTACCTTGGGAAACAGAACTATATCAGAAATGACTGCTACCCACACAAAAAGTGTCAGATTATAAAACTAGGCCACCCCCCATATGTTCATATTCATATGAACAATTATGAATACTGTGATGGGTGTGCAGTAGCTGGTAATTTAAGAGCAGCTCCATTTATATACTAAATTACAAGTATTCATAGTGTGTTCACATCCACTGCACAAAGAATAGCATCTGTGGTACACAGGTAACCAGAGAGTCACAGGTGCACACTGTATGGAAGGGGTCCGAGCTGATGGGGATGCTGCTTCGCCCACTGGTGTTAGTTTCTATCCCCCTGTTCTTGGGACACTTACAATGAATCTTCCAGTTTTGTTAGAACAGCCATAAAGCCGAGGTGGGTGGTCTTCAGCCTGTGTCTCCAGCAGGGGTGAGGTCTGGTAATCCTTTTGCCCTCCAAGAGCATCCCAAAACTCCTCTGTGGAAAACATACTAATTGAATCCAACGCATATCCAGAGGCATGGGATACGATCATCCTACATGAACAAATATCTCAAGTTGACTTCAATATTAAGTAGTTACTTATAGCACATGGCATCCTCCCCGTTTGCAACCAACAGAGGGATTCTTAACGCCTAAGACCAGCAGAAAGACAGCACACACCTGGCTCACTGCCTTCCTGAATCCTGGTGGTGCTGCACTTGAGGACACTGGCCACATGCTCCGCGCCCTTCTCCTCGTCCTGGCTGGAACCTTTTCCAATCCACATGTAGCCATTGTTCTGTTTCAGCTTCAGGACAAAAACGTCGTTGGAGTTCAAGGAATTTGCATCAACATCAACCTAGAGTGTGTAAAAGCAGAACACGATGTTTCACATTCACTGCTCTTCTCCCAGTAAATGTATCTCCTAAAAGCCATGACTGTGACAAACTACCCACAGCCTCCTGCCCTACAGCCAGGGGACACCAGTGTGGTGTGTGAAACACTACAGCAGGTGTCCTTTGATCTGTGTCATTTTAATGCTCAACTGACCTCCGATGGTAGCACAAGGATCTAAAAGCAAAATTAGTCAAGCTTGGGGCTGACGTTGTAGTCTGTGATGCTGACATTCCCCGTTAGCAGTGGTTTGAGTCCCAGCTGCTCCACTTCCCACCCAGCTCCCTGTTAACGTATCTGGGAAAGTGGTGGACAATGGCCCAAGTACATGGGTTACTGTCACCCAGCTGGGACTTCCAGACTCCTGGCTTTGGCCTGGCCCAGCGCTGGTCAAAGAATGTGCTAGCAAATGGAAGCTTTTGTCTTTCTCACTCAAACAGGAACCGGAGTCTACTGTGGGCAGAGATTGTATTGTAGACTCAGACTCAGGTACAGCTGAGTGACAGTTCAAATGACGTCAGATGTATTAGATGGGATTAAAAACACGACAGTGATGACTGTGTTCGCCCAGTGGAGAAGCAGCCACAGAGCAAGAAGATGAAAGCAGAGGGGAGCTGAGAGCAGGGACAGGGTGTCAAGGGTGAAGAGATATGTGGAACCTCCCGGTGTGAAAGGCTCAGGTGAATGGCTTGTGTGCAGAGATGGGGGTGGAAGATGGGCCCACGTCTGGGGATAGAGAGTATGCAGGACAATATGGGAGAGATCTGCAGACTTGGATTTGAAAACAGGTGCTCAGCAGCTGAGGTGTGGCTGAAGTGCCATATGGGTCAAAGCACACAGCCTTCTGGAAACCTGGGCCTGCTGGCTTTGTCTGCACCTGCAGTTCCTGCCCACGACCCCACAATAGGAGGTGTGGTTAGAGACAGTATATCTGATCAATACACCTATGGTTCTGGCCCACTGTGGCCAAGTTGGCTCCCATATCTGTTATACTTATCCCCTCACATCATCCCAGTGTGGTCAGGCATCTGACTGTCACCACTGGCCTTTCCAGAGTCAGCGTTAAGTTGCTTCATGCCCTGGACAGCTTGATGTGTTACATACAGCTTTCTTTTTTTTTTTTTTTGATTTATTTTTATTATTTTTTTATTGGAAAGGCGGATATACAGAGAGGAGAGACAGAGAGGAAGATCTTCCGTCCGATGATTCACTCCCCAAGTGAGCGCAACAGACCGATACTATGCCGATCCGAAGCCAGGAGCCTCTTCTGGGTCTCCCACGCGGGTGCAGGTTCCCAAAGCTTTGGGCCGTCCTCAACTGCTTTTCCCAGGCCACAGGCAGGGAGCTGGAAGGGAAGCGGGGCTGCCGGGATTAGAACCGGCGCCCATATGGGATCCCAGGCGTGCAAGGCGAGGACTTAACCACTTGCGCCACCGCGCCGGGCCCATACAGCTTTCTTAAAACTCATTGGTCTGAGGTTTGATTCCACTAAGAAAATGAGATGTCAGTATCTGGAGTTTAACCTTTTACTCAACTCTCTTGTTTTTAGTGTTTCTTTTTATTATGAATGGTGGATAACTACAGAGGGGAGGACTAGGATCTTTCCATGGCTCAAGTATGCTGGGAAGTCCACAGCCAGGACATGGTTGACTGAATGCCTAACGTTACCTCCACAATCCTAGTGATGGATGCCAGGTTTCTCCGGACTTGAAAGAGGCGCACAGGGGGAGCGGGTGCCTGACCTCCTTTTCTCGATGTTCCATTCTTGTAAATAATGAGTGGTTTGTCTTTGAATAAACTCAGCAGGTGAGCAGGCTCTTTGCCTTGGGAGACTCGAATCTGGGAGTAGAGGAAAGTAGAAAAAACAAATATCATCCAGAATGCAATAAAATCTAAATGTGTTCCTATTTTATTTGCTGAAAACAAAGCCGTGGGGCAGGGCCGTGGCCTGGTGGTTAAGCTGCCCGTGTCCCACCCTGGATGGCCTGGGTTTGCTTTGTGCTTGTGGCTCCTGACTCCAGGTTCCTGTTCATACAGGATGGTGGATCATGAGGTGGGGACTCCTGCCACCCAGACGGAGGTCTGGATTGAGTTCCCACTCCCAGAGTAAGCACTGGGTCTCTGTAACCTGATGTGAACATGACTCTCCTTTCAAGAGCATCAGCATTTCACAGCTGTTCACAGATGTGCTGGATTCCTGCGTGCTTTGAAGCTAGCACATAAGGTTAAGGCATATGTGTCTGAATGCTTCAAAAAGTAAATACAAAATCACCTCATTATTTCTAGATTCCCACATTTGGGAAATGAAAATAGATTTCCATCCAAAATTATAAGCTGGCAGACAAACTGAATATATATACTTCCTATTTTTATCTCTGTATAGACATGATAATAGCAAATGAGCTCAATACAAGCAACTTATCATATAATATAGGAACTTTTCTGGATAAAAAAACCGAAGATGGCAAATGGTGAATGCTTTCTTGATTTCATTTACCAACATTAAATACTAAATTAGAATTTTCTATTTTGTTTAAGTGCTGATGCCTCTTGATATAAAGTTCAAACACTGTGGTAGTTCCCCGACTGCCTTCCCACCTCCCGATTTTTTCCTTCCCTGTGTTAAATTTGGCTGTCCCAGTTACCCTGCACTTGAAGATGTAGGGATTTCTAGAGTTGGAATGCTGACTGTACTAAGAGAGTGAGACCTACAGACAGGTTTGGAAACAAGGGCCTTCATGAATGTCTCAATCAGTAAGCATCCAGATATGTTACAAAAATATTTATTCAATCACAGAATCAGAGATTGGTTGGACATAGGAGAGTGTACCAAAAAACAGTTACCTCAGCATTTCATATGCCCGGGACAAACTTCAACCGGCAGGAAAAAATGACAAAGGGCAAGTGGAGGAGAAGGGAATAACCTCTACTTTTACCTATAAAACTGTATCTTGGTAAATAATAAATAAACTTGAATAATAAAAAAAGAAGAAGGACCACTGGTTATAATCCATCCCCTACTGTGAAAGCCAGATGAGAGGACAAAGGGATAGATTAAAAAAAATTCCAATATTGTTAATGGACTTAGTAAAACAATGCATAAGGCACCTATTACATGGCTTTAGATTTTTCACGCATTATTGTACATTACTGCCACCTTGTGGTTAGACTAAATATTATCATTTCATTGCCAAATAGTCATGGGTATATTAAGTATCCAATAGGAAAGATGGAATATGCAAGGTGAATGCATATCGGCGAGTTCTGAAGACTCTGATATGGAACACCTCATCAATTAGATGGCATAGATGAATAGAGCTTGCTAGAAATACTTCACTCAGGAAATGGATACAATGCTTCTTGAGGAAATAGAAGGGAGTGAATTTAAGAACACCTTCATCCCGTTAATTTGATAATTAATGACTGATGGGTTAAAGTACAGAAACTTTAGTGCTCCTCTTTAAACTCAGATCCAGTTTGCATGATAAATCTACACCAAGAACCAAAATGGAAAGAAAATTGGAAACCAAGGCGAGACTCCTCCTTCTAGTACGCAACTTATCTCTGTATTAACTAGTGAAACTCCCCATATAAACAGTTGGAAAAGAACAACAAAAAAACAGAGAACACAAAGCCAAAAATGTGCATACCACACGCCAGTAGGACCTTAACTTACTTGATATGAGCCGGGACAGAGTTAGACACAGGCAGTCAAAGGTAAGTTAATAGGCTTTTATCACAAATAAGCACGAGCCTTCAGAGCTTTTAGGACACACACACACACACCGAGAGAGAGCAAAAGCGAGCAAACAAGAGACAGAGAAAGAGACAGCTCTTTGGACTTCCCAAAATACCAGGCCTGAAACCAGATGCCAAAGCACGTCTCCCACGTGCGTATCAGGGACCCAAGGACTTGGGATTCATTACCTGTTACCCTGAATTTTCTGTGTCATCGGCAGCTGGAGCCAGGAGCCAAGCCCCCAGGCAGTCTGACATGGCCATGGGCCTCCCCGCAGGAATCCCATGACTAGGCCAAACACCCGCCTCATGCCTTCAGTGTGGACTAGAATCTGGAATTCACTTTCCAGAAAATAGAGACAGAAGCCTTATTGAAAAGTGGCCCAAAAACCCACACATGTGACCAGCTCCAGTTACAATGAGAAAATGAGCACACGCACAAGGAAGACCTTATGTTAGCTTTGGGGACAAGGGACAAGCAGACGCCCTTGCTGGGATGAAGGAGAATGCGGACACATTGGAGCACACGCGAGGGAGATGGAGTCCCTCTGCTGTCTGCACTGCAGTTGCACAGAAAGCCATTTAGCCATGACCATGAATGCCCGTGGTTACTAGTAAGGACTGTACCGAGGAGCGGATTCTCCATGAAGCAGAGTGCAGCGACGGAACCTGAGCGGACAGCAAAGAAAGCTGCGGCCGGCCAACACCTGCCCGGCGGACACAGGACGAGAGCCAGACAGTTCGACTCCTACAACGAACAAATCAACCCTCACCACCACCCCGTCCACTTGCTCACTAAAGTGATGTATTTGTATGTCTATGGAATTGTTATTTGGAACGAGGTTTAGTCATTCTGAATAGTTACTACACCTGTTCTTGGATCAAAGGCCCCGAAGCGATCATCCCCTTTCACCTCCCGCTCACTTCTTGCCGTTGGGCTTTCAGGCAAGATTGTGGTATCTAAGATAGGAAAGCTAGGGCCTGTGCTGTCTGGTCCAGGTGTAGTGCTGTTTGCTGTGCAGAGCGCAGCCTCGACCATCCTGATTTGACAGGTGCCCATCACTGTTCCATTCTTTTACTGTATCTGTGTGGGCGTCTTCTGTTGCCTTTTAAAAAAATTTTCCATTGTTAGGACAAATTTCCATGATTTTAGAAACTTAAAATGTAAAAATAGATTTATCTTTTTCTCCAGGAGGGAAGTCCTAAATATGGTCCCCAGCTAATTTAATCCCTGTGATAAATCGGGAGCAGTAGGGCCCGGCACAATAGCATAGTGGTTAAAGTCCTTGAACACGCCAGGATCCCATATGGATGCCGGTTCTAATCCCGGCAGCTCCACTTCCCATCCAGCTCTCTGTTTGTGGCCTGGGAAAGCAGTTGAGGATGGCCCAGAGCCTTGAGACCTTGCAGCTGTGTGAGAGACCTGGAGGAAGTTCCTGGCTCCTGGCTCCGGATCGGCACAGCACCGGCCATTGCGGCCACTTGGGGAGTGAATCATCAGAGGGAAGATCTTCCTGTCTCTATATCTGTCTTTGTAATGAAAATAAAACAAATCTTTTTTTAAAAAAAATTGGAAGCAATAACTTCGGACACTAGATGGAGATCAAGGGACACCTTTCGGGAGGTTCCAGGGGTGACACCCCCTTGCCTGTGAGGCCTCCAGAGGTTGGCTGTTCCCTGCGGAGGCTGGCTGTTCCCTGCGGAGGCTGGCTGTTCCCTGCGGAGGCTCCTGCACATCTTCAGAGTTGGTAACTGCGGGTGGAGCCTTTCTCATGCCACACCCCTAACTCTGCCTGCCCTCTTGTTTCATCTGTAAGGAGCCTATGATTACACTGGGCTGCTGCCAAGGGAGCCGAGAGAATCTTTTCAAAGATATGCTGATGAGCCACCTTGATTCCTTCTGCAATCTCAACCCTCTTTGCTTTGTAGCAGAAGCCATCTGCAGCTTCTGAGGATCTATCAAGAACATCTTGGAGCTACTATGCACATTTAACAACATCTGTAGCTGCTAACACAGATCAAGATCAATGTTGACTGTCACCATTGCATGGTGTGATTGTAACTGGAAGATCTGGTGCAAGAGGGGCTCCTGAGTATGTTGATAGTCATCCTTCAGATTGGTTTCAGAAGCAGAGATAGGCTCCCGTCTATTGGCTCATTCTTTGAACACTCACAGTGGCCAAGCTGGAGTCAAGTGTGAAGCTGGGAGCTGAGAACTGCATCCAGGTCCCCCACAACAGTGGCAAGAACACAGCCACCTGAGCCACCACTCCTGCCTCCCTGGATTAGTTAGCATCATCGGGACGCTGTAGGCAGGAGCAGGGGCCAGGAGTCCAACACTGCCAGTCCCATGTGAGATCTGAAAGCCAAAACCCCAGGCCGGAGCTCCATCTCTGTTAACAGACTTTTGGTGTTTTGCTTTGCTTTGGTTCAATCCTTTTCCAGAATCTGAGAACACCAGTATGGCATAAGAGTAAGAATATTTAAAATTCCAACGTGAAAATAGAATGTCAAGTAAATGTCCAATTCCCACCTCAGCCTTAAAGGGAAGCTTTCTCTAAGTATTGCAATAGTAAAGATTTTACATGTGGATGTGGGGATAAAAACATTCCAACCTGCACAGCCTGTCCTCCGAGGGAACGATCCAGCTGAACCGTCAGGAATGCAGATGTTGTCAGCTCGTCTCTTGTGGCATTTGCTCCTTGCCTGGGGGAACAGGAGTGAAATAAATTCGCTTATATTTAACTTGGAAGACCTCCTCATGTAGGCTTTTGTTACTTTTTAAATCATTTATTTGTGAGGTGGACAGATGGAGAAAGAAAGAGAAAACAACCTTCTATCTGCTAATTTACTCCCCAAATGTTTTCAAGGGCAAAGTTGGGGCAGGGCGGGGCCGCAGTTGAACTGGCCTATCAGAATTCAATCCAGGTCTTTTGCTTGGTGGTATTAACCCAGTTACTTGAGCCATTACCACTGCCTCCAGCTGTCCATGTTGCCAGGAAACTAGGGGCACCTCATCACCTGTGACTCCCCTCTCGCTTCTATGCTTCCAGCTGTTGAAAAAACTGGCTAATTTACATTTTGGGTTTACTATAGAGAAAAACAATACAACCAACTAACAGGTTATATCACCCAATCTTTGTCTTAGTTTGCTCCCTTTTTCTTTTCCTTAGTAGTTCCACCAACAACCCTGAAAATGTCACAAAAACTTTGCTCCTAGTAAGTACCCTGCTTCCTTGTCTCCAATCCTTCTGGTTCCTGTCAGAGAACCTCGTTTTCCATTCACGTGATTTGCTTTAGAAGCCACTGGGTTCTTTGCTTCTCATTTTGAAACCCAATGCTTAGGACAAAGAAAATTATTAAAACTATCTATGGTTGACAAGATTTCTAAACCTGTGGTACTTGATGCTCATTAAGAATAAATGCTGCTGGGCCCAGGACAGTAGCCTAGTGGTTGAGGTCCTCACCGTGCATGCACTGGGATACTATATGGACACTGGGTCTAATCCCGGCAGCCTCGTTTCCCCTCTAGTTCCCTGCTTGTGGCCTGGGAAAGCAGTCTAGGATGGCCCAAAGCCTTGGGACCCTGTACCAATGTGGGGGACCTGAAAGAGGCTCCAGGCTTTTGGCTTTGGATTGGGTTACCTCAGACTGTGGTGGCCACTTGGGGGGTAAACCATGTGACGGAAGATCTTCCTCTCTATCTTTCCTCTTCCTCTCTATATATCTGCCTTTCCAATAAATAAATAAATAAATAAAATTTAAAAAAGGATAAATGCTGTCCCAAAATGGAATTTCCTACTTCAAGTAGATCATCATTGTTCAATGCTCTCAAATACAGATGTTTGAGAAAGGTCACTGCTGAAATTGTTTCTCTTACAATATGAGTGATTTTAGAAGCACAAAAAAATGTGTGTATTTAGAAGTTAATTTAATTCTAGTATTTCATCTCTAACTTGTTCATTCATGGACTTATTTTGTTTACATTCCTTTATGGAAATTACCAAGTCAGCTGGGAAAATATTTCATTGGAAATCCAGTCTTCAATAGATTGGCTTATAAATGCTCCTTTACTATGTTTACAGAAACTTTTGTAGTTCCACAAACCATGTAACATTAGCAAATTTATTTATCTAGCATCTACTATGTTAAATGCCAAAGACACAAAAGAATTCTTAAGTATCTTAATAACTCAAGAAGTTATACATTATCATCATAGAAAGCTTAAACATTCAAAAACAGAAGAAAACTAAGTGAGTCTCCAGTTGCACTCCAGACATAGGAACTATTGACAATGTGATCTTTCCACTGGGAATTGTTTCAGGTGTGGACTAAACTTGTCCTCCGTAAAGGAATCCCTGCTCACACAACACCCGGATTGGAAACTGGGCTCAGCCTCCACTCTGTTGCTTTTTCCATTCCTTACAACCTGTTGTTCTGTTGCTAGCCTGCTTCTAGTCCAATTTCCTGTGACATTCCCATAGTACGATAGATACCCTTACATTACACGTCTGAGCACTGGTCCTTCCTCTGTGAGCACGGCTGTGAGACTGATTCTAAGCAAACCCAAACCTCAGTTAACTCCAACCATCACCCAAGCCTATGTAAGAGGGAAATCCAAGTATTCTAGTATATTCCCTCCATTAGAGGGAATTTTAAGATGACAAAGAATGAAGACTGATCCATTTGAGATTTCTGGAGTAGGCAATGGAGTCACAACTTACATTGTTGCAGGTTTTTTGTTTGTTTGTTTGTTTGTTGTTTGTTTGTTTTAGCACTACTTTGCAGGTCCAGTCCAGAGGGACCCCAGTGGCAGCCATACGATGACATTGCACCCAACCCTGGCTGCTGGATCATTAGCTGCCATACAAGGTAAGATACTCAACTACATGTTCACCAAGAGAGCTGTTGCTGAAGACATCCAAACTTCTTTCCTAGACTACACAGGAAAAATTTCTAACTCCTTCTGTTGTGGATGGCAGCTATAAAATAATGTCAAAAATACTATGTGAATGCCACACAAGCCTCATTCATTTGGAATTTGGGAACAAAATCTGGTTCCTGTGGAACCTGAGCTTACCACGTGTAGATGAGCTGTCCTCTGGGGTAAGTGTAGAGGATGATGTAGCAGTCGCCACCATAGAACTCACCATAAGAATCTGGGTCAACTGGGACCCTACCGCTGCTTTCTACACGCCAGATCTGCAAGGGATAGGGTATACATGCAAAGATTAAAATTTTATTTATCTAGCAACATTTCTCACCAGCTTTAAATAATTTTTGGTTTGGGCTGATCATTAAACAACTTTAAACCAATTTTCTAACTAGTTTATGAATTCATTAGAAAGGAAGAAATTGTTATCAATTTGACAGTTTGTACACTAAGCTTTTTAAGTACTTATATTTCTTCTGCGTCCTCTGCAGTATTTACCTCAGTCCTAAACCTGGAGCTTAAAAAATCAAAATCATTTGATCAACTAATGAAAATAACTTGACACCTAAGTAGATTAACAAATTTAGCATTCAGTCTAGGAAATTCAAGTGTTTTTTATTTGTCTTTTTTTTCTTTCGCTGTTGATGTGTTATTTACACATATTTTTCTTTATTCTCTGTGTTCTATGACATGAAGCTATTGTTTTCTAAGGTGATGCTTGTTAACTGTGCTCAAATAATAAATACAATGCAGTGAACTGAATGAATGCTTGTACCCCCGCAATATTCATGTGGGATTTCAACCCCAATATGAAGGTTTTAGAAAGAGGGACTTTGGCAGGCAATTAAGTCATGAGGTAGTGCCCACACAAATGGGATTAGTGCTCTTATAAATCAGACCCCTGATTGCTGCCCAGCTCCTTTTCTCCCACATCAGCACACCAGGAAAAGACGGCCATACATGATTCAGGAAGCAGATCTCCCTAGAACCCATCAAAACTCCTGTGTTAGAAACCAAACTTAGGGAAACTGATCTTAGAACTCCCACTCGAGAACCGTGAGGACTAAATGCGGTTTAAGCGCCTACAGTACAGCACTGTGTCACAGAATAGCTAAATACCTCCACTTCGCCGGAACCATCGTCCACCATGTTATGCTGGGCAGCCATCTGCGAAGAATTGTGTAACTGTGAGGCATCAAAGGGAATTTGCTGTATCTGAGCCACTTTTTCTGTGACATAAACCTTCCCAAAGCCATCGCTCTGATCTTTATCTTTCCAATCCCTAAAGAATTGTTTGAAGATTGGTGTTTCACCTCCTTCTGGAAGAACTTGAATCTGAAATTTAAAATAACAACAGTAAGTAGGAAGAAGAGAGACTGAGGAAAACCAATACCAGTAGAGAAATACTAGGGAAATGGAAAGATGGTCTGTTTGGGTTCTTCCAACTGCAGACATGAATTCAGTGACCAGGGTAGTAGAATAATCTAGTCCTGTTTTCCTTATAACAAAAGTAATTGCCATAGGATGTGAATGTCTGAGATAAGAACAAAGTTCTTGCATCTTTCACTACAGAAGCTAACTACATTTGTCTTTGTACACTTGGCTTACCAAGGCACTTGACCTGAATGAAGTCATTGCAAGGTGTTATTTGAGTCAGAATACCAAAATGAGAGGAAATCACAGAATTGGGAGATTCAGAGAGGAAAAGAGTAAGCAGCTAGTGTCTGAGTTGATCTTTATGAAAGCAAGTATTATCTGAATATTAGACCCCATCTGCCCAACTTGTTCTAAGGTGGGTCATGTTGAATTGAAAGCTGTGGAGGAAGTGAGTGGGTTCTTTGTCAGCTTGCAGCCCTATCGACTCATCTCCTCCACCAGCTAACACAGTAAGGACACGTGACATGATTGCACACTGAGAATCAGTTCACATGTGTGCAATACATTGAACTCAGTCCTTTCATGAATGTTGAGGAGATGTCATGCACTCCCATGCTTTAAATCCCATTCTTCCAGTTCACTTTTACGCATACTTGGGTACTGGTGGGATAATTCATCTGCTCTAGGAATTCTTCAGCCGTTTTCATTGCAGCCTTCCTTTCTTGAGGATTAGCATCTTTTCCTAAAACACAAGTTAAATTAAAGAAAGAATTTTACTAAGGGAAATATAGGATTAGGTAATATTTGTAGACCACAAATAAAATTACAATTTAATATAAATACTACACTGACAGAATTTCAAAAATGTCTTATTATGCTGGATGCATGTGACAATGAAGTGATGAATGCCATTTATAAAAATCATTTCGTATTAGTCAAAATGCCATATTTAATAACACAATCCCTGGTAAATGATGCTAGTAGGACAGATAGAGCTGAATTTTATGGGAGGGAGTTATAGATCAAATCTGAAATAAAGAGTTTTTGTGTTTTAATCTGAGGTGCACAGGCAGAGATGTAGAGAGAGGAAGAGAGGGAGAGAATGAGAGAGATGAAGAGAGAGAGAGAGAGAATGAGCACGCCCAACCACTGGTTCACTTCCCAAATGCCTGCAGTGGCAAGGGCGTGGCCAAGGTTCGGCTGGAGCCACACTGTGGCTAAAGTCTGAGTTGGGAATTCCACCCAGGACTCCTAAGTCAGTGTCAGCAACACGATTTCTTGACCATCACTACTATCTCCCAGGGTCAGCCTTGGCAGGTAGTCAGGAGCTAGAGCAAAGTAATGAGCCAAAAAGGATGCTTCAACATGAGGTGTGGCTGTCCCCACTGCCCGGCTACCTACAGCAGGTAAACTGTCCTTTTCTAACTCACAAAAGATGTTTTACTTACTCTTATGAGGAAGTATCTGAAACCTGGAAATGCAGCTATAATAGAAACAGCATCTTTTTACCTTTCCATACAAAAATTTGTTTTGCAGCACCATGGTCCAAAATAAAGCATTCTTCAGAAAGCAGCATTGCCATTGAGAAGGGATTTTCCTCGGCCACCACGGTCACTTTCATGGCTCCACTTGCGTCTGAAACCTGATGTGAAAACCATGAACACAGTAGATTTGTTCTGCCATAGTTTGCCTTGAGATGATTCAAATCTTCTAAAATTACAGTAATGATTGCATCACTCTGACAAGCAGTGGAAAACTGCTGAAATGCACATTTTGAACTCATGAGCTTTATAGTATGTAAATTATATCCCAATAACGTGATCAAGGGAACAAGCATGTGGCCAATTCTATCTTAAAAGATTTTTTTCAAAAGCCTTTGGAGGTAAAGGAGTCACAACGATAAAAGCGTAGATTTTGACACAATGCTCCACCCATCAGAAAGTAACAGTGATTGCTGTAAGGCTGACTGTTTCCAGGTGCTCAGATATGCTAAACCACCACGTGATGTGCCTCATACAAACGTGTCTTTGACAACCTTATACTCACTGTAAATACACAAAAAGCTCACAGTTCATACACAGGCATATTAATATATGAAAATCAAAATCCTTCTAGGCAAAGCTAAATCTAGGACCCAGACAAAACAAAACAAAACAACAGCAACAACAACAGAAAAAGAAAAAAAAAACAACCCATGAGCTAAGGCTGTCCTTGTGAAGCTCTTGTTAGGATCTCAGGAAAGTCTACTGCCTGAAGGCCCTTTAGTCAGCAGAAGGGTCTTCAGCAGCAGTTCCCTCAGCAGATGGAGGTCAGGAAAGCTGCTGGACACCTGACCTGCAGAGAACAGCTCAAACATCAAGGCTGAGACACTCCATCAGAATACATAAAGCAGGGGCTGACATCATAGCGTTGCAGGTAAAGCCACTTCCAGTGCCACTAGCATCCCCTAATTGGTACCAGCGAGAGGATGGTCCAACTGCCTTGGCCCTGGCCATCCATGTGCGAGACCCAGAAGCTGTGGAAAATGTCTCTTTCCATCTCTTCTGCTCCCTCTATAGTTTCAACTTTCAAATAAATAAATCTTTGAAAAAATTTTAAAGATTATATGAACCCAGAGGACAGAAATGATACTGGCTTTGCCACCTTTCTCCAAATAAGTCTTGAGATGCTGATTTGTATTTCTATGTTATTTACTTCACAAGGTGCTTTTTACCCAGGACATGCTCAAACAGTTCTCGAAGTGGTAAATGTAGGCCAATAAGATGCACATAAACTGCACAGCAGTGGAAAGACCTGCAGCCCTAGCGACCACTTCCATTTTGGAAATAACGAGCTCCATCGTCATCTTCCTCAAGACACATTCTCCCTGAGCTTCCACTTCTCATCTTGGCAAAACCAAAGGATTTCACTAAGTGCCACCAACATACTGAGGCCTACTTTGGGGAACATAAGGGCATAACACACAGTAACTGGGGACTCAAGGAAATCTAGCGGAGAAAACAGAAATTTTAACAGAAAATCTTAAGAGAAGTACAATGAATTCTACATCACACACTTCTTTGAAAGCTGAAGTTTAACCGTTCGGCCAGTCAGCCTTTACTGAGGGGCCTCTAACATGAAGAATGGTCACTGTGCTAAGCAAGGTATTGCTTACAGATGCTTTCTAATTCAGGCTTTGCAAGTTAAATTCTTTCTTGGTAAATTATCACAGCACATTTATTCTGTCATATTTGAAAATGATTAGAATACATTTCTTAAAAGAAAAAAGCTGCAGGGTGGTGCTAAGGCACTGAAATGAATTGAATGTACATGCTAGAATTCAGTGATTTTTTTTTTCCCCAAGTCAGCTTGTAGATTGCAATGTAATCGACAGGACGCTTGTCAAATACCCAGATCCCAGGGCTCTCCCCCACCAGAGGCAAAGATTCGCACCACGAGGGTGGAGTTTGAGCTCCCCAGATGGTTCTGCTTCCAATTGCCTTTGGCTACCCCACATTTTGAAAAACTATGTTTGGAAGCACACAGTGCAGTTCCACTAGAGGGAGCCATGATCCAGGCTTAACATTTTCATTGAAAATTTTCTTCAGTCCACAACGCCTTTCAAGAGATGGTATAAAATAAAACGCTGAAGGCTGCTGAAAATAGAAATTTACTCTTTCTAAGGTAATGAAGCCATCGTTGTTAGGCTTTGCTGTTTAAGAATGAACTTCCCCATTATAAACAGGAACTATACCACGCAAGCTAGTGATCTTCATTCAAAATCAGATTTCCAGAACTACAAAGTCCCTTTGATGGTATTAAACAAAACTTCCTATTACAGAGGAGAGAACTTCCAAGTGCAGGGAGATTATGATCCACTCCTCATCAGCTGTTCATGTGTATGTGTGCTGCAAAGGATGGGATTGGAATGGGAACCTGTGTTGTTCTGGGGCAGTGGGAAAAGGGGACAGGTGTAACTCTGGCATCCGGCTTCCTGCTAAATGCCCCTGGAAAGGCAGCAGGACACAGCACAAGCCCCTGGATCTCTGCCATCCAGGTGGGCACCAGGATGTAGTTCTCAGCTTCTGGCTTCAACTTGGCCTAGACCTGGCTGTTGTTGCCATTTGAGGAGTGAACCACAGGATGCAAGATCTCTATCTCTCTTTCTTTCTGTGTGTGTGCACACACACGTGCTGCTTGCTTGCTTGCTTGCAATTCAACCTTTCAAGGAAACCAATAAAAACATCTCTAGGATGCTAATCAGTAATAAAACAATAAAAGCGTGGAGCTGGGGAGGATGTGAGTCATCCCCTAATACAATGCCTTTATCATTATCTCCCTCTCCTCAGATAAGAAAATTAAAACCTAGGACATGTGACTAGTTATTGACCACGGGGTGGGGCGGGTCAAAGTCAGCTGCTGCCCGGACAAGCTGGTTTTCACTCTTTCCTTTCAGCTGCTTGACTTGACAGCTCTGTTATCTCTTAATAAAGGATGTCTTCATATTTCTAAAGGATGTCTTCATATTTCTAAAGAGGATGTCGTAATAAGGTGAAAGTAATGGAATCTTATCAAGAACTTACAGGAAAAAAAGTTTGCACAGTATATTTACCCTAGAAATTAAGAAACTATTTCTATACAATATATTAAGACACATTGTTGCAGACTCCTATAGTAAAATAGAACTGGGGTAGGCATAACAGGAAAAGACTCCACTAGCAATGCTGGCAGCCTATTTTGGTGCCGGTTCCTGAGCGGACTGCCCTACTTCTGATTCAGCTCCTTGCTGGTAGTCTGGGAAAAGCAGCATGACCTGGTCAAGTGCTTGCTTAGGTCTCTGCTATCCATTCTGGAGGCTGGGCTGCTGGCTTTGACCTGGCCCAACCCTCGCTTTTGTAGCCATATGTGGAGTGACCCAGCAGATGGAATAGCTTTCTCTCTCTCTGAAACTCTCTCTCTCTCAAAAACAATTATTTTTTTTTAAATAAAGTACTATTGAGCCTGGTGACATGGCCTAGTGGCCATGGTCCTCGCCTTGAACACGCTGGGATCCTACATGGGCACCAGTTCTGATCCCAGCAGCTCCACTTCCCATTCCAGCTCCCTGCTTGTGGCCTGGGAAAGCAGTTGAGGACAGCCCAAAGCCTTGGGACCCTGTACCCATGTGGGAGACCTGGAGGAGGTTCCTGGCTCCTGGCTCCGGATCGGCATAACACTGGCCATTGTGCTCACTTGGGGAGTGAATCATAGGACGGAAGATCTTCCTCTTTGTTTCTCCTCCTCTCTGTATATCTGACTTTGTAATAAAAATAAATAAATCTTAAAAAAAATTTTAGTTGCCTAGTTTTTTTTTTTAAATTTAAAAATCACAGAAAAAAAGCATACTTTCAGTAAGTAAACAAGAACAAAGAGCAGATCCTCCCTATAGACTTCCCTTCGGAGGGCAGTGAGAGGGATGGACCCTGAGGTCAGTCCCTGCCAGACAGGCCCCTGACCACCTGCAGCACAGTGGAAACACAGCCCCCAGCTCAGTGAGCTCACCATGTAGAGCTTGGCCACCTTCCTGTTGCTTAGGTCAGCTATGCTGTCCTCATCGTCGTCTCCATCCTGGAGCTCCGGCTTTTCCCCTAACACCTAGGAAAAAGAAAACAATGGATCAAATAAAGACTTCTCACTGAATCATGGAAGATTAAGAATAACAGTAAGCCATCTCACACTTCAGACATCCATTATAAAATAACTGGAATTAAAACCAGCAAGTTGAGGGGTCAGAACCATGGCAGGTTCACTTCCGCCCAGGCTGCTGCTGTTGCTTGAGGCATTCTTGGCACATGTGGTGCAACTGGAGGGGTCAAGTGAAGTGTTTGGTAGAAAAAATAGAGTCTTTGAACTTATTTATAGTAAATCACAAGCACATATTAAAAAACACTTTAAGTTGCCAAATTAATTGGCACAAATACTACTAATGTTAGGGACAGGTATAAAATATAAACTAATTCCAAATAAAGTACATGTTGTAACAGTACAGTATACATTCACATTTAGAAAATGTAAAGGCAGCATTATATAGATCTGATATTTACCATACAACGACATACTGATTTATATTCAGCATTCCCTATAATACAGTGCCTGAAAATGTATCCTTCAGAAAAGCAGTGTACAATAAAAGTGCACACAAATCTAATTTTTCTAAGCGCATGGGTAAAACCATAGAGAACTTATCTCCTTTGGGAACAGGACATACAACCATCAACAAAATATTTCAATTATTGTACATGCTAAATGATTATAAGAGTTTTTTCTTTTCTGTTAAAGGTAGGAGCACACCAAAACTTAAAACACTAGTAAACAAACGCTTTTTTTTTTTAAATTTTTATCTTGGCAGAAATACATACAATTCATAAGAGCCATCAAAGATGTTTAACTGCCCTCAGCAATTCCATTCCAACCTGGACATCAATTTTGGATAAACAGTTTAGGTTAAGGGCATACCTAATGCTGGAAAAATCTCCCAATGGGCCAGCTAACTCTGGGGCTTGGGACATACCCTAACTTTTAATTTTCAGACAGCAATTCCCATGTTACCCAGTTAGCTTAATTAGCTTTTCAAGGGACAACAGTCCAGTTGGGAACTGAACCCAAAGGATTTACCAAAATCAGGCTTAACTCCTCGAGTACGAGGGTGCTGTATACTCCAAATACCTTTAGGGATGATTTAAGAAACACTTACCAAACATAAGTTTTTCCAGTCATTTTGCCCAAACACTAAAGATTTTACATCCTTCTTAGAAACAGTATAATATATATGAAGGTACTTTGAAAAATTAATGAAAAATGGAATTAAAAGACACTTATTTTGGTGCTGAATAAGTGAAACCCATGCATATTGTTTTTCATAATAAACATTTCCAGTAACTTTCTGAAGACCCTTCATATGCATAGATTTCATTTTTTTGCACAAAAACAAATTTACTTCTTAATCTTATTTTCCAAAAACGTTATAGTTTTCACACGTCTTGCTCTTTGCCATAAACTGTATAAATAGAGCTTTTCTTTTCCTCCACCTGTAGGATCATGCCTAGAGTTAAGATATTTTTATTCTAGACTGACTGTGTGACTAGCAGTTAGCTCATGGAGTTGGCATATGAAACATCATATGAGGGACAAGAAAACACAGGAGTCTTATTTGACTTCAAAATTTCCTTTGTTGTTTTAGCCAACAATTCATTCAAGTTTGTAGCTCTTTTTTTAGTCCCTTTCTGTAAATTTCCATTTAAAAGCACTGCCAACATGTAATGTGCCCTAAGATGAACTTGTTTTCTACAAATCATGTGTAATTCTCTATTGTGTCAGTGTATCTCTAGTTTCCTTAAAATAAGTGGACTTAAATTTCGTCTTTAATTCTTCCTCTCCTTCACTCTGAATCTCTTGCCCATTTAGTCATTAAATTCCATAGTTAGTGATAATGGTCAGCATTACTGATTGCTCTTTCCTTCTTTAAAAAAAAGTTTGTGAAGCAACAAAAGATTATTTAATTTGAAATGCAGAGTTGCAGGGACAGAAGGAGAAACAATTAGTGAGAGATATTGGATCTGCTGATTCACTCCCAAAATGGACACTGTGGTGAGGGCCGAGCCAGCTGGAGCCAGGAGTCAGGAGCCAGGAGCCAGGAGCCAGGAGCCAGGAGCCAGGAGCCAGGAGCTCCCTCCAGGTTTCCTACAAGGCTGGCAGGGGCCTCAGCACCTGGACCACCATGTGTTGCTTTCTCCACGTGCACTGGAGAAGCGGAGCACGCAGGACTCAAACTAGCTCCCCCATGTGACGCTGTTGCTGTAGGCTGCCACTACTGTCTTATACCGCAACCCAAGCCGCTGACCCCAGTGAAGGCCCTGTTTCCTCTTATCATGGGTTACAGCCACTCCTGTCAGTTGCACGCTGTCTTCAGTCTTATTTCACCTTGTGCTCCTAAAAGCTGTCCTACACACTGGAAGCTGGAAGGCTTCTCACTGCACATTACTGCTGTGAGAGATCCTGTCCTTTGCAACAGCATGCATGAACCTAGAAGACATTATGCCAAGTGAGATGAGCTAGACACAGAAAGCCCAGTATCACGTGATTTCGCTACACATGGATTATAAAACAGTCAAATTCATGAAAACAAAAGAATCTTTGTTACCAGTGCTGGGATGTGGAAGAAATGGGGGAAATGGTGGTCAAAGGGTATAAGCTTTCAGTTACAAGATTATTGAATGCTGGAGACTTAATTTACAGCATGGTGACAATAGTCAATAATGTGCTGCATACTTGAAATTTGCTAAGAGATTGTAAGTGTTCTATTACACAAACATGATAGCTGAAGGTAACAGACATGTTAATCAATTTGACTGGTAATCCCTTTACGATGTGTATGTAAATGAAGCATCACATTGCATACCTTATATACTTTTATTCATCAATTGTACCTCATAAAGCTAGAAAATAATTTAAAAATAAAAAAATTTAAAATGTATACTTTATACCTAAAGCAGTGGTTCTTAAGCCTAGTGTGTTCAAGTGGCATCTAATGACTTGATGAAATACAGATTTCCAACTACTATCACACCACCGAGTCCAGAGTGAGGCCCAGGAATCAGCATTCCAGGTGATTTGGAATTAACCTGTCTGCCATCAGGCTGAGGTTTTGACTCTGTAGGAGCCATCTCCCCTCACCCCAGCTCCTGGTTTTATTTCATGATGCATATAATTTCTCTCTATGTTAACCTGGTGTAGTAGAAGTAAAATTGAACAATTTTTCTTTGGTGAGTTCAGCTAGTTACAGAGTAAGTAATATATATCCACTCCTTGAAACATCACCCACGCTCAAGTAGATTAAGACAGGCTTTCACCGAGCTTATAATGGTTGCATCTAAGGGTTTCCAAACAGGTTCTTTCCAGAATATTTCTCCAGAATAATTGGCTCTATACTTCTGTAAACCAGGAGAAAGTGAGCAAGTCTCTGAATTGGTCAAAAGGACTGTTTTCACAGATGGTGTTAAAGGGACCCAACATTTCAGGGTCTGCTCCTTTCACTGCGGCTGTTGTCTATGTCTGCAGAAGAGTGAGCATGGCAAACGGTCTTTGTTCACAGAGATTTCAGAAAATTTTCCGTGGAGATAAAATTAATTTCCCTCCCTAGGGAGAAGCCAGCTTTAGATACACCAGCAAATTCACTTCAATATACTATTTTCTATGCATTTCTGGATTCTTCTTTGAACTAGTGATAATATCTTATTGTTTTTTTTCTTATTAGTGGACAAGTTACATAACTTTTTTTTGCTAAGGACTCTTGTATTTGCATGACATTCATGATTTAATTTCTCTAGAGTCTACACTTTAACATTCAGAACTCTTTTTGTCAAAATCATATGTATTGGAACCTGTTCACACATTTATTGCCCTTCCTGGGTACTGCACATATTTAGCAAACTGCCAAGTGCTACTGTATGCCATGCTGGGCACTTTCAAGTTTTATGAGTACTTGACAGATTACATATCTCTGTATCAGACATAATTCCAAGCACTTTAATATTTCTTAATTTCATCTTTACAACAACCCTGGGACTGTTGGCCATCAGATTTTAACTGTAGAAGAAAAGGGGCCACCGCAGCAGGGGGGGGGGCGAAGCCAAAACGAAAAAGACAAGAAGAGCAGGGGCAGACCCCAGCCAGGCCAAAAGGAAACAGGCGCACCCAAGCCACAGCGGCGGGACGGAGCGGCCCGGCGCGGGGAGCCGAGGAGGCGAAACAGACAAGGCGAAGAAGACAGCGAAGGGGAAAGGGGGGCGGGGGGGGGCGGGGGGGGGGCGCGGGGGCCGGGGGGCCGCGGGGGGCGCGGGCGGGGGGGCGGGGGGGGTGAACATTTCATGACTTCGCCTATAACATAAATACTAACATTCACACTCCATCTCCTCAAATTTACCTTCCCACTCTAACTTTCTATAAAAAGCCAAGATAGTTGGTCACTTTTCAGATATTGATGGTGCATGATAAGAAAGGGGAAATTGTGACTGGGACAAGGGACAACACAAAAACCCAGAGTACACTTGTTCTAAGGGAATTTGATAAGACAGTCTCACATGCTTTTCAGAAGAGAAGTCAGGACCCAATGTTACTATTACTTCCGCTTGATAGATTAGGAAAACAAAGCTCAAGTGTGTTAGGAGTTCCGTCTAAGACACATGTCTCCTAAATCCTGAAGGTGTAAACCCCAGGGCCTTGAACTCACTCTTCAGCCCCTTTTATATAGTAAAGAAGGTATTTCATTCTTCTTACCTTAATCATTTCATTTTAGTTCTTAAAATTTTTACTTTATTTGAGAAAGTAGACACATACATATAGGAAAGAGAGAGAGAGAGCGCGCTCCCATTGCTAGCGCATTCCTCAGGCACTCAGTCCACATTCCCACACAAGTGGCAGGGATCCAAATACTTGATCCAAACACCTGCTACCTTAGCAGGAATTTGGGGCTAGTGGTGAGGCCAGTAGTAGAACCCAGCAGTCCAATATGAGGCACTGGTGCCCAAAGGGTGTTGAAGCAGCTGCTCCAATATGCACTCTGCATCATCTCAACGTGAGTGGCTCCACTTCTGTTT